TGCTTTGCTTGCAAATTAGTCAAAATTAGCATTATTGTCCTACTAATATATTATCAGTTAAGCAAAAGTATTGATATTCGGTCTCTTCGAATGCAATTTGTATGTTTATCAAGACAATTTACTAACCTTTCGATTAATTTTATTAAGGTAGAGCAATGTACTTGCAAACACAACAGACACAATTAGCAAGATAGTTAACATTAGACACCGCAATCATTCAATTTATTGCAATTCATTTCCAAATTGTGAACATCAACGAAAGAAGAGTATTTTGTCTGACTAACCAGACTTCAAATTACTTCAAATTGCTTAAAGCTGAGAATAGCATAATTTTTCAAATACGTTAAACAGTTAAATTGAAACTTCTTTGTACATTTATTGCTAACGATTTCAACCTTCGTTACTTCAACGCATTTCACTCAAGTAACAATTTCCCTACCTGATCACCTTAGCATCCAAACTTTTTATAAAAATGATATTTCCTTTCTCAAACAATCCAACATTTAATAACATCTTACATTACATTTCCATCAGAATTTTGATTCTTAAGAATTGATTCTTGGAATATGTAATATTAATTTATTCAGAGCAATGTAATAATGTAACAAAGTCATTCCAAGAAAATTTAAATTAGATATTCATTACAAATTATGTTATTGATAGAAAAATGTGTGTGTAAAGGTTTTTAGGGACTTTTGAGTGTAACTTGAAGTTATCATTTACGGTGTAAAACTGGGCTCAGTTTACATGAATATTGAGTGCATATTGAGTCCGATTACTCAATATTTGTCTAGATTTTGCAATTGTTGATCTTATTCTGCTTAAGTGCCTTAAATTGTTGGTTAAATCATGAGATTGTCAATTTAAAAGTGGAACCAGTTTACAGGTTGAATCAAACTTCATGGACAAACAGCATTTGCCAAATAATTATCAATTTTTTTGCTCCACCATAAAACAAGCTGAGCACAATGTTTTGGATAAATCAAAGGGTAAACATTACCATTGAAAAATGTAAAGTAAATATTGAATTGTCCTGAAATGTTACCATTATTATTAAAATTATTGTTGTTTTTATTTGACTTGCAGATAGCAAATCCAGGGACTGATTATGAGTTTTGCTTTATGTTTAACAATAAGAATGAAAATTGCTGGGAAAGGGAAAAAAAGGTTTCATCTTTTTTCATCTTATCACAACCAGAAAATCAAATTAAGAATTTGATGAAAATCTGGAAATTTTTCATTGATTATTAAAGTTGAAAAAACAATGTTTAACAATGAAATTAAACTATTTTTAGGCCTAAAAAGGATTCTTTTCAAATAATGCCTTTGAGCTTTTTTTACTCTTCACTTTTCTACTTTGTTTCAATATAATCAAATTTTAAGTTGACATATTTTCATATAAAATGGATTGACTGCAAGTACCAGAATAAAGCTTCAACCCAACTCAATTAGCCAGACAATTTTGCATTAACTGTCAAATTAAAACACTCATTTACTCAACATTTAAATGATTCAAGAGTTGCCATTGAAAATTAGCTGTAAATTAACCAGTTTTTTCAACCAGATTTACACTCGAAACCATTTCCATTGTTGAACCAGAAAAGCTTGCAAGATCACATTAACCACAACAACAGCTAAATGGTTCATTAATTGTGTGTTTAACCTTTATTGTTTTCAACCTTAAATTTGTTAAATAATCTCTTTAATTGTTACTCGAGTCAGCTGTCGATTGAACAATCATTAACATTGAAGGTTTGGGTTAATTGTTGTTTTTACAAGATCAACTCATGTTTGGGTTAAGGCAATTAAAACATTTATATCATCCGATTGTCAAAGAGGCAAGTTAAATATGCTTTTTGGGTTAACTCTAAGTGTAAACCTTGACTTGAAACCTACTAATATCATCATCTATGTTAACTGTGATTGTTGTGGGTAAACTGAATTAAATCTTATTCTTAATTATTTACGTTGAAATAATTCATTCAAAAGTGATTACAATATTTTACGATTGAGTGGGTTGAGTTGCCTTTTGGATCAACCTTGGGTTTAGATATTGTTACAAATGTTGGTTAATCAGGTCAATTGACTTTATTGTTGCTTAATTAACTGTTTCTCATCGTAATCATCATCAAGATCATCATGATAATAATTATGAATGATGTAAATGAGTGAAATGTGAATCTTGGAAAGCAGTTTGGAGTGCAACTCTTAAAGCTGTTGTTTTATTGAAATCGTGATCCCGATCAATTGGATTTGATTGTTTAAAGATGAAATTGTGATCAAGATTGGTTAATCAGTTTATTTAATTTTTTTGCCTCCATTCTTGTTAAATTGTGATGCGATCAGTGAAATGAGCTTGATGTTGATGCTTTTTGTTTTGTTTTATTCACAGTGAAAGTTCATTTTTCTGGTGAATATTTTTAGCTAATTTTTTCATCATGATTGTCACTTTAAATGGTTGTTTTGATTTTTCTTTAGTCAATTATCAAGTTGAAACAATATTATGGTTAATTATAACGATATTTTTATGTTTATAATGCTTAAGTGAACCATTATAATCACAGTTTAAGGGTTCAAAGTGAGTTGAATGATTGGGTTATTAAGGTTGAATCCCACGCAACTTTGATTCATCTTCATCTATTTTTCATTCAATTGTAAGGTAACCGGAACTTATTGTACATGAAAAGGCTGATAATAACACAATTTATCATTTACATCATCACATACATCACCATCTACATCAGCATAAACATCACAATTGTGGTGATATTTTTGAAGGAAATCAATTTACGTTTTTCTGTTGTTTACTTCTTGATACAAAACATAGACACATGAGATTGTAAACACTTGAACTGGTTATTTTTAGTCATTGATGGGCATAAAGTTTGAAAAACAATTAAGGATGAAATAAAATTAAAATTTAATCCAGTAACATCACAATTAATTAGGGCTCAATGTCAATTTGAACCAGATTCACTTTAAGCTTTACGGCATTCACTTTTACTTAGGCTTTAGTTAGGCCTGAAGCCTTTTCTCAGTTCACACCAACATTATAATTGATTATGATTAACTGTTGATGATACGGATGATGGAGATGATTATGATGGGATATGAGATGAATATTTTCAAGTTATAATCATAATTGTAGCAAGAATAAACAGTCTATTAATAGCAACTTGCTTCACATTGATATATGGTAAGATTTGGTGAGGTATAGGTGATTCTGGTTATTATTTGAGTAAAATGTGTTGTTGAGTGTTTAAAATTAACTCAAGTGTAGGTGGTTAACGTATTTATTAATGATCAAGAAGATGATGATTAAGGTATGATGTTAATGATGAAAATGGTGTAACACACAAATAAAAACAAGAAGGTAAAACCTACAAGCTATTTACTAGTATTGCAGTTAAGTAGGTAAAGGTTTTTTGTTTGTCAACATTGTTTTCAAATGATTTTTAAGATTTACTTGATTGATCGTGTGTCTCTGTTGATCGCTAATGATCATTAAATCGAGTCAATTGTGATCCAGAATTGGTTAATCAATCATTTCACTGATCATCAAGTAGATTGTTATCACTGGTTACATAAAAAAAGGTAAACATCCATTTCAATTAACATAAGCTGATCTAGTTACTGGAAGGAGCAAAGCCATTCCAAAAATGAACATAATACTGGTGATGATAGCGATCATTACTACTTTCATGATGTTAATTGATCAAATCATTCAAAGTTTAATTACCAAAGATTATCATCTAATCCCGAGGCAAATTAAAAGCAAAAAGTATCTTAATCCAGATCAGAATTGACCAGTTGCTTTCAGAAACACCATTCAAAAATCGCTCTTCTAACCTTTTGCATTTACAATTAGATGGCGTAATGTCTCATTGTCTTGTTAATGTCACTGTCAATTTGTTTTATTTTCAACTGTGTTTAGGTAACATTAATTGCTATTAATAAATGATAATCTTGTCGGAATTGATCAACTTAATTCAGGGAGTGAAAGGTATTTTAAGACCAACAATTGTCAACGATAACATGGTGGAACTTACGTCGAGTGTTTTGTTTTGTAGTTGATGCATTAGCAAGTTTATTGTTTCAATATCAACCTCTAAATGTTTGTTTATCTTTCTTTTATATTAAAATGTTGCTTTTAATTTGATCGTGAGTTTATCATCTTTTGGCTGAATTGATTTTAATTAACTCTAATTTCTGGTTTCTGGTGTTACAAACAACTTTACCTAAAAAAGATCAACATCAACGCCAACCGTTATTATTACACACACACATTAGTTCATTTGATTAACTCATCTCACTTTTAATACTTATTCATAATTAAATATCTTCTTTTAATCTTTCTCTTCTTCTTCTTCTCCTCTAAATTATATTAACATGGTTATAATTAACTCAGGTAATGAATATAATCAAAAAAAAGACAAGAAAAACAATCAAACAAGCTTATGTATAAACGCAAATGAAAATAATAGGCAGTATAAAAGTGATACATTACTATAGCTGTTAAAATACAGTAAACAGCTTTTCCTGCTCAACCGTAAGCTCATCTGAATCTCATTGAATTTCATCCTAATCATTTGAATAATCTGGATGAAAAACAGTTAACTGTCTAAAATATTTTAAATGAAATCATTATTAACTTTGAATGGATTAAACCTTTGATATGTGACTTTCATTAGACACTAAAAGCATTACATGAATGTAAAATGAATTCAGACAAAAAGCCAAGTTAAATTAACATAGCTTTTGAAAAACAAACTATTTTGTTGTTCATCTAAATGAATTTACTTTGCAAATTTTACATTAAAACCTATCATTATTTAGGTCAGTAAAGAGTGAGATTAGTTTCCATCAAGATGGCCTAATCTAATTCAATCACCATAAGCTTCTTAATTTAATCAGTAAAACATGTTAATCTTTCATGATCATTGTCATTGGGGAAGTTGGTCAGTTGACTGCTTCTGACTGTTGATAAGGTAATCCAGTGATCAACATTGAAAGATTGAAAGATTTCAACAATTTAATTTATCCACTTTAAATTGGTTGACAGCATTTTCTCACATCATTTCAGTCAAATGTTATTGCCATCAATTTTCAAATTTGTGACAATTTTTGTCTGCACCGGTCTCATCACCATCGCCATCAGCTTGATAGTGTTAAAAAAATTGTTGACATTAACCTAAAAATTATTACAGCAATTAAATGGGAAAATTTTGCTTTTAAATTTCATTTCAATTACGCTTTTCCTCGAGGATGTAACTAAATTAGTAAACTCAATCAACCTTAAGCTAACAATCAATATCATCTTGCAAGTGTTAAAATGACATGAGATGAATGGCGACCATTAATCCACAAATCTGCTCCTTTCAGGTCATCTTGGCTTTGACCTTTGTCATCTTGTCCAATTGCTTTAATCGTTCATCCAAATCACCCTCGACGTCTCCCTTAAGGTTATCAACAGCTTCACATTGGCCTGTAATCAAAAAATCGTGTCCAAAGGCTTCTGGTAATAGCAAGTTACCTAGCGAACTGCCATTCAGCTGATCCTCCATTGCATGCAATATACTAGACAAGATAAACTGTTTTTGTGACCAATAAACAAGATGGGATTAAGTTGGAAGGAGGATAAATGATCGAGAAGATGGTTGATACAATAAATTATCTGGAAAGAAAGGAGTAAAAAATGAGTATAAATAAAGTGTTACAAGATGATTTATTCCTACTTACATAAAGCATGTGAATAAAGATAGCAAACAAGTGATAAAACTGAAAACATTGGGCGGAGGAGAATTGATATTTACCACGATTTAGAAGACGATGATGAGGAAAATGATGTTAATGTTGATGTAGTTGTTGTTGTTGATGATGATGATGAGAATGGTGAGAAAGAAGAACCAACCTTATCATCCTACTCTCTTTACCAGTCTTACTGTTGGTCTTCCTGGTAATGGAGTTTACAGCGCCAGCTTCAGCCACTCAATCTTTTGCAATATCTTCGGCTTGAAACTTGAATTAGTTATCTTCATTATCCCTCCCTTTCTCTTTCTCTCTCTTTCTTTCAGGTATCATGAAGAGTAAGATGAGAGAAATGAACATGAGAGAAAGAGAAGATGAGTAGAAGAAAGAGAAAGAGAGTAAATTGTATCTGACCGATTTTTGGCTATTTACTTGTCTCACTCAATTTTCAGCTGAAAATTTACCAGTCTCATTGAGCTTGTATTTTGTCTGTTGATTGTTATAAACAAAACATTTTTGCTTTTGTTATTATATTTTAATCAATTTAACCAGTTTTTTCACAAGTTTCATTCATTAATTAAAAAATTAAGTTACTTTTTGTTTTTTGTTTTAATTATTGGCTGCAATTGATTGATTTTCATTTTTGCGCCACTTTATTTTTCCCTCGTAATTATCAGCTGCTGCAAGTGCTTTTTGCTTTAAATTACAAGTGTAACGGTTCAACGCCAATTTTGTGTTAATTGTTGTGCTTTGTTGGATGGTTTACCTTTACAATTTGGATTATACGTTTTTTTATTCGGATAACATGATGATCTGTAATTAATCAAGATTAATAGTCAATGTATTTGAAATTAATTTTGAGCTGAAAGGCTTCATCAAATGATCACAGGACCAACTCCAACTATACCCAGTGAGTGTGTTAACCTTTGTGTTATTACAACAATCATTCAACCTGTTGCAATCATCTATTTTTCTGGTTTATTAATCAAGTTTAACCTAATTTTTGTTTTCTGGTGCATTATAACATTTTTATAAAATCATTATCTAGGCAATATTTTAATGAAAAGTTCAATCTGATGGAGCTTTAAGTATACACATGTTTAGACGCTTTAGATTGAAAGTACAGTTGATTCGTGATGTATCCAGTTGATGGTTAAGATGAAGGTGAATCTGGTTAGTGACAAACATGGATCGGAGGTTGCAATGAATAAAAGACTGTGAAATTATATGTTATTGGAAAAGAGTTTGGTGACCGTTTAAGATGATAGAGTTGGTATTGAGTTCAATGAAAATCAATAGTGAAACAAGAGAGATTTTAGATGTTCCCAAGTTTTCTCTCTATTTTGTCATACCTTGTTCAGAAGGATACCAAAGAAACTGGTGAAGATGGAGAAGAAGAAGACTAAGACCAAGGAGAAGATGGAAAATGAGTTAAAAGATGAGGAAATGCATTCCTGATGTTAAGATGTTAAATGCATCATTCCAAGATGATGTTCAAAAGGAAGAAGATACCAAACGAGACTAGTAATATAAAGACAAGGGAAAGACGAAGAAATAAAGAAATAAGAAAAGGAAATGGAAATAAGATGAGCTTTTCCTTTGAGCTTCATATTTTTTTCAACATTAAATGTTAAATAGACATTTATATTGGTTGATGAAAGGAATTGAAACCTTTGAAGGAATCATCATCATCAACACCATCATTCTCAAGGTGAAAAGGTAGTAAAAAAACCTTTCCCAGGGAGTCCTTAGACATTTTCATCCTCTATATAATTCCGTCAATCATCGAGTATGATTCAGATTATTCAGATTATTCTGATTTCATCGTTCTCCTTGCAAACTTCATCTTCTTCTTCATCATCTACTTCTTCCCTGATCACTCCAGTCACCAAAATAGCTTTTGTTTCTTGCCTTTCACCAAAAATGAAAAGAAAGGTGTTATAAAGAGATGATAATTTTCACCTTGATCTCCTGTTTTTTTTGCCATCCCTGGAGAATCCTCATCATCTGGATAACAATCTAACTGAAAAATCTCTTGATACTTTGTCTACTTTTGGGCTTTGTTTCCCTTAATCATTTTACAGGCAAATGTTCAATTCTTCCTTCCAAGCCTTGAATTCATGGATTCAACAATTGACTCTATTGTCATCATGGCACAACTCTTATCATTATTACCAATTCAGTTTCCTATGAGAAATCAATTGTTTGTCACCATGAAAATTCACTCAACTTACCATCAAGTGTCTACTTATTAGCTAAATTAATATTTTTTTGCTCCTTTTCAATTTAACTTTTCACCTTTATTTTGTTGACAATTTTTGTCAGTTTAGTCTTTTCATGATTGAAACCTGCTTTAGCGTTTCTAATCAATTCCCAATCATCTAATTAACAGACTTTTAACCGTTTTTTCCCATTGAATTCATTTACCTTTTCAATATGATTAAACTAATGACTATTAAAAGCTAATTGCTTTAGGCTGAGTTAACCACAATATAAAAGTTAAAATACACTTTACTCTGGTTTGTTCATCCTTAAATCAACGCTTAATTGGCCTCAATCCTGGTAAACAATTTTCACCTTCCTCTTCCTATGGTTAATTGCAATGCACTTCTGTCAATCTTTCACTTTGATTGCAATTTAACGAAATAAGGTCAACCACAATCTGGAAACTGATTTTGATATTTTCAATAGTTGAATCTGTTAAATCATCAGCAACCATTACAATAATTTTTCAAATGTAATCAAAATAGTGAAATGTCATCTGAATGAACACCAAAAGAGTTGCAAGTGTTGCGGGAAAATGAAATTTCCATCTAATTCAATCATTAATGTTTGGTCAATTGATGAATTTTGTGAAACCAGTGATTGAATTGCTTCTGATTAGTAAATTGTATTTTGTCAACTAGTCACAGCTTTTTAAAAAGCCATATTAGGTTAACAAGTGAAAGATTCACTTCTAAATTGGAACCAATCTAAATGACCTTAACTGTAGTTATTTATTTCCGTACAATTTTAAATCATCATCAACTGGTTTTACATCTTTATCATCATCTGCATCATTTTTCACTGTCCTCTTTCAACATCAACAAAATGAAAGCAAAATAAGGTACAAACAAAATAACCAAAATAATGATGAAAGGACATAACCTTAAAAAATACAGTTGGTAATGCATTTAATTTTGCTTTTTTTCTGACTGCTTTTTGTACCAATTTAAAAATTTAATATGGTTTAATCACCATCATTATGACTATTAATAACATAATCATTTCATCTTTTATTGTATCAACAGTGTAACCACATTTTAAAAATTGAATTCAATTATTTTCACTTCATCAGCTCCAAGATCATCCCAATTGTTGCTTTAATATCAAACAGATATTTGAGATTTACTAAATATTACTTGTTATGGTCATTATTTTGTTGTGTATTTATATGAAACAAATCAAATTAGGTTCAAAAATTGGTCAAATGTTTACCATTTGTTCAACCTAATTGGTTCATATTACATTTCACTTTGTTTGTTTGTTGCATTGAAACACACATTAGATGGATAAATCATTCATGTTGTTCAACAGATTGACTTCATCTTCAAATTGATTTCTGTGTTAAGGTTAAATCGTAGGTTGATCAATTGAAAGCACAGTTACTCATCTTATCATCGACACATTTCATCATTTTAATCACATTCATCATTGAGAATCGCCATGATGATAAAAAAAGTCAATTAACCGTTCAATACAGCTTTGTTCATTATAACAAGACAAGGTTTTGTTTTTCAAATCAATATCAGTAATAATAAACAAAAATGTTGATCAATCATTCAAACTATTCAATAATTCAGGTTGACCTAACACTTGACCGAGTAAATTGTTGTTGTTTCACCTTGTTGTTGATTATAAATGTTAAATAAAACATTTTAGAGCCTTAATGATGAACAAATAGGGATAGAAAAGGTGAAAAACGATAATTAAATTTGAGAATTGACAGTTGAGGAAAAAATGCTGCCATTATACAAAGACTTTGAATGTTGAGGGAAGATTAACAATTTGAGAAATTTTGTATTTAATTTAAAAATTAAAAGATGTTAAGTGGTTTCAACGAGCTTGGTTAGATGATTGAGAAAGTGAAACTGATCAGTCACACCCTGATTTAAGGATATAATTGACCCTGAAAATGAACTTAATTCAAACTGATAATTTTACCTAATAGTTGCAATTAATTTATGCATAAAAGGGAAAGGACAAATGGTAAAGATTGAAAGATTAATGTTGATTTGTTTAGTAAATTGGTTCAACTCATTGTTTACTAATCAACTTCCTGATCAAATTTTTTCTTTACATGTTTTACTTTATTAATACAATCAGCCGATACTTTCTCATCATCATTGTCTGATGATGTTAAACAGCTAATCAAGTAAACCATGTAAATGTAAATTTGTACCAATAATGAATAACTGTTGATGTGATTGAAAGGTAAACAAGGAAATGGAACAATGTAAATCATCAAGTCATTTTCGTTGTAAATAACCATTCAGTAACTGATTGTTTAACTCAACAGTAATCAACCTGGGAATAGTTTGACGATCACTTTAAATAGATGAACGTAAATTATCTTAAGATGTAAACAATGTATTAAGGGTAATCAAATTGTTCATCCTTCCTCTTTTTTATATACACTTTGTGAAAGATGAACTAAATTCTGTAATGAATCTAAATTGATTAGCGTTAAAAGTTACTTCAATTTAGATTGTAAAAAAGCAAACTATTCCCATAAATTGTATAATCAAGGTTACAATAGACTTTAAAGATGTTCAACTATATTTAAGATATTTTTAACGCTTTCCTTTGGTTCCATCATCTACTCATCAGGCTCTTATGGGAATCCTCATTCAATTTTTGCCAGGGTTAACCATGATGGATGGGTTACTGTTCAAGGTTGAAGAATGATGATCATGATGATGCTCTCCTAGTAATGATGAAATGAAAATGAAGAAAAAGTTGAATTACATTGAAGGTTAGAACCAATCAAACATGAAAAGGTAAACATTGACTAATTACCTGGGTTCACTGATAGAACATTAATTGAAATTTAGTTTTTCCTCGCACCAACCATATTCATGTGCCAGCTAATTGTAATATGTTGAACTGTGTTGCTCCAGGTTTTCCTTAAAATTGGATTAAGCTTGAAAGGGTCTAAAAGGAAGAAACAAAAAGAAAATGTAAGAAACATTGAAACAAATGAAAAAAGGGGTAAAAGAAACAAACGTTAGAATATAATAATCTGAGAGGAAAAAGGATTGCTTACCCTTGTGTATCAATCTCACTTCAATGATCTTAATCAAGTTGATTGCTTTTTGATTCTGTTGAATCATTCTCATCAATCAAATCATCTTTTGCCCAGATTTTTACCGTTAAACTATTGGTAAATATCATTAAAGAAACAGCAAAAATACACAAAAAGAAAAAAACAAAATGCATAAAATGTAATGTAATTTATAAAGAAACGTTTAGACTGAAGAAATTCAAAAAAAACTACATTACTAAGTTAATTAGAATCACAATAATCTCAAATAATGCAGCATGATGGCAAACATAGGCAATTAATAAATTGCTGAACAAAAAAAATTAACTAAATTGAATTAACTTTTGTAAAACCTTAAGTAAAAATCACGTTGACTTTAAGAGGGAAACAGCTGATTCCCTCCACTTTTGCATTGCAAATAGACGAGCTGCTATTTCCAATGAATCAATCACGGCTGTAACAGCCATTTATTTTGCATTAGATTTACATTTAAGTTGCTCATTTTTCTAATTATTATATTTATTTAAATTGGTGATGTTAATATGGTTTGATTTGCTATTTTAGTTGTTTATTCTGGCTCTTAATTGCTGAATTTAGTATTGATCTCAAGTTGGTGCTTAGCCCTAACATTAAACCTCGCTTTGTGTGACCATCATTTCGTTTCTAAATGTTTCACTTTATGTTATCTGTTTTTGTTTCACCTTTTTCTCAATTTATTCATTTTCTTTTTATTTTATTATTTTTTTCTTCTTTTTTCCAACCTAACCCATTATCATGTCCCTACTTATTCTTGACGTTAATTCCACCCTATTAATTGCTCATATACAAATGGCTTTATACAAATTGGCAGTCAACTGAAAGCAGAGATTAATCGGCTTCGCAAGAAAGGTGTCATCAGGCCTGGAATCAATTTAGCCGCAGTTTGCGGACGGTGCCTCACTGAATTGGGTTTGATCCTTAATCGAGGAGCCATTTGTTCAATTTGTAGGAAAAAAGTATGCAAAAATTGTAGGTTTTTTGCTGATCAAGATAACCCAATAGATGGTCATAAATGGGTTTGCATTGTTTGTAGCAAACAAATGTAAGTTAATTAACTTTCCATCAATCACATCATCGTCATCACCATCCACATAACAATCTAACTGTTTGACTCGAAGGCTTTTCAATTGTTAACCGCCGGGTGGAGTTTGATTTGGACTTTGGAAGTTGAAATAATCAAGTTAATCTCTACAATTCAATCTCTACAACAATTTGTGCTTTGTGAAAGGTTGATGTTGATTTTTACCTGAACCAAAAAGATCAACCTTTTATTGCCATCTTCATCAGCCACAAATCATTTCCAGTTTTTTTTCCTTCATTTAATTGTTGACAAAATGCAATTTAATGTTGTTGACCAAACCTTTTTACCTTTCTCCATCTCTCTCAAAAACACGCAGTTTAATTAACTTTGATTTCTAGATCACAATCCTAAAGAAATTAACTTTTTTAGCTGAGCAATAAATTGTCAATGATTACATTAATATATCTAGGTTGGATCATAAATCAAGTCTAACCTATCTTTATACAAAAATTGTGGATCATAAGCTTTAATATAAATGTCAAAACTAATAGTATATTATCAATTGTCAACTATTAACAGTTAAAGGTTGATTCAATTAGAGTTTGAAAAAGCAGAGCAAAAAAAAGGTTAACTAAATATTGACTCAATCAAAAAACATGGATATAAGATTACATGGGAAAAGAGTATTGTAAAGAGGAATCCAAATTTGTCTGTCAACGCATATTACAATTGAAAAACAATGAACAGGAACAGAAGATAATCAAGTTTAACAATTGAATTTAAAAAATTTAACCTGACAAGTTGTTGACATTAAATTGAACAGAATTAAAATCACAATCAATTTGCTTTGTATTTGCTCAGTTTAAAGGCCTAAACCCAATCAACTAATCATTTTTAGCTTCAACCTCAACCAGAAACAAAAAAACCCATTTCTTTAAACCCAATCCAATGGAAAGCTAAATTCATCTTTTGTATATTTACATGCCTCAATTATCCACACCATGATTAACCCTTGAGGCCAGTTATGAATTAATAATAATGCTAATAGAATCATTAATTGCCAGGCTTGGTATTACATTGTATAATCAAATAAATTACACTCGAGTGCATATTTTGAATTTACTTTTGAAATACACTTTTAGCCATACATGCGCCTTTTCCCACCTTTAATTGTTATTTAGTTGATTGTAATTTACATTTCCCAATCGAATCTTATTTCTTAATTCCACTGTGATTGTAAATATGATTAATGAAGGTTTTACAGACAAAATTACAATCAATATTGTGAACTTGACTACAGTAAAATCCCAATATTTACATTGTTTACCCTTTATTATTGATTATTTTTTCAGCTCTAAAGGATATTCAAAGACAATTATTTTATTGTATCTTCAGTAAATACTAAATTGTAATTCCGATTGGGACATTGATTAAGCTTTTTTGTTCACCTGATTTTAATAACTAGCTTTGCTTATTGGTATTCAATAACACTTTATTCAAAATCTGTACATTGGTTAATACAAGGGTTGGCTGAGTTTGATGAACTTAATTTTGTATAATTGTTGATTGAAATAATGTGCACTCTTCAATGTAAATCTCTAGCTATTTTAATATTTAAATGTCTTGTTTCCATCATTAATTATCAACAATTTATCCAAGATTTTTTCTTTTACCTTTAATGGTAAATTGATGATTTAAACTGGATCAATAGATTTGTAATATTACAAGTTACAATTGACATGCAAATATTACCTATTGATTTATACATTGACTTAAATAGTTTGTTTGCATGTAAATGTTTAAGTTACTCCGTTTTGCTTGATGTTATATCTAATTGTTTTGCCAATCGATTGCAACCTTAGAGATTAATTGTAATTTTTACTATAAAATCTCTTTATTCTCCTTCTAATCAATATTTCTTGTTTTTTTTCTCCATATTTTTCTTTCAATTTTTGTTTCACATTACAGTCAACTTAGAGCCGTTTCAGGGGAATGGATGAAAGAGTTAACTCGTTCAGCCAGTGAAAAGATTCGTTCACCATCAGCAAGTGTATTTGCCACTGCCACTGAAAATTTGGGTCGTTCACTTAAATATTCATTTAGATCAAGTAATTTATGATGATGTTTTTCAATTTATCAAATCTTTAATTTCTTTTCTTTTCTTCTTTTCCCTTTTCAACTTTCACTTTTACTTGTCTTAAATCACCATCATGATGATTTACTCCTTAACTGTTTACCCTAATATGGATTCTTGTCTGTCTTTTCAGGCTTCCTCAAACAATCTAATCAAGACAATCAAAACGAAGGTGGCCTTTCAAGTAACAATAAACTTGGTTCCAGCAGTGAAACTCAACTGAACAAACCAGATTCACTTGATTCATCGTTTTCAGTTAAACCATTAAACAATCTTGAATTTGGTGTTGATGGTGGAGGAGGTGGAGGTGGTACAATTGGTGCCACTGCAAGTGTAGGAGGTGTTATTGGCCCAGATCAGTCTAACCTTGGTGACAATAATAATGAAATAGGTAATAATTATAGAAGATTTTATCGAAGTCGAGGTCAAATTCCACCTAAACTTCCACCAACGATAAACACCAGTGAACCATCAACGGCCCCTTCAAAGTCACCACCAGCGGATGAAAGTGGAGATCAAGAGACATCGCCAAAACCGCCATTAAGTCCAGTGATTAAAGCTTATCAAGCTGCCGTTGATCTTGTTTCCGTTGATACTAGTCGAACCATGCTTAACAGTTCACCCAGTGAACGAAAAACAGTTTACCGTAAGGTTTCCAATCGATTGTTGGATAGCTCATCGTCTGAAGAGGATGATGAAGAGGAAGAAAATGATTTAAGGCTATCAAGCCATTCGAGAGCTTCTAGTGAGTCAACTCCATCGCCCAGGACACCCAATAGTTGTAAAATATTAAGCGGCATCTCAGCTAATCAAGCTACAGCATTTAAATTTCCGCCTCTTTCACCTGTGCCAAGTCTATCACCTTTAAGGACAGACCGGCCGCTTGAGTTTATACCGCCAGATCGCCAGTCATCTGATGAATTTTCAACCCCACTAAGCTCATTTAGATCACGGTCAACATCCAGTGAGACTCCTGAAGAAACTAGTACAAGTGGAGGTGGAGGAAGTAGCAGTGGTGGAGGAGGAAGCGTTAGTGTTGCCTCAAAAGGTTTAACTGCCGAAAATGGATCAACAAATCGTCGTGTCAGCCCTTTACGCAAACAGAGAGCCATTGCCGAAGAACATCAGACTGAATTATCAAACAAATTAGCAACAGTGTGTCAAGTTATTGGCGATTCTTCAATGGCTGGTACTGATTACCCCACAGTTGTAAATACATCTTCAAATGTTACTGGAAACAGCGAAAGCTTGATACGACGTGAACATAGCGGTGGAGATTCAGGAATTGATTGTAATTATCCAATCACTCGTAAAGGGACAGGTTCATGGACTTCTTGGTTCAAGGAGAAACCCTCAGCAGTGACTTCTGCGCCAAACAGCTCTACAACAGGCACGATCTCTTCCTCTTCAGTTTCAGCACAACCTGGAGGAAAAGTGGGCGCATCAATGCCTAGTACTCCATTAGCCACTTATTCTCGATTTAATCAAATTTTAGCAAATTCAACGCCATCTAAAACTGTCTTAACCTCTTCTAATCCTTCTGTGTGTACTGTTACAGATAAATCAGCTGACGATAGTGAAAGTGACGGTACCGTTGAAAATACGACTGGAGTTGTTTTTCGCAAAGTAACAATAAAGAAGAGACTTTCACGGACTCAATCAGATAGAGGTTCACCATCACCAACAGGTTCGCCAATAATGTCTACCACCAATGCTGTTAGTCGAAATCCATTAATGTCAACCAGAACAGCAACAACAACAACAATGAATTCATCCGAGTATCAACAGTCGCAGCAACAGCCCCGTTATACACAGTCACCGTGTTCATCACCAGTTCCACCACCGATGAACTCAACTCCTATTCATTCCAACCAAATAAATAGATCATTCAATGATGATCGGTGTCGTCGTCCCAGTGGAACCATTGGTACTTATGTTAAATCCCATTCTGCTGGTAAGTTGATGATTACCTTTTAATAATAATTTACCACAAACTAATAATAGTAATAGTATTAATATAAATGTGAATAACATGTATTGTAACATATCTAACATACACTTATTAATCGCAAAACGACCAAACTTAACCGCTATTAATTGACCAACTTAACCAACTCTGGGTAAGACCACCAGAACTTTCGCTAATATTTTCACCTCCAACACCTAACACCTGGAATATAACATGTTTCAACCAATATTTATTTAATTTCGACTATCATTGACTATTACAATTGAATTAATACATCTTTTGAACCATCATCTGCAGTTAATCAAACGGGAATTGAAGAGAGCGCACCATCACAATCTTTTAACAATAAAAAATCCCTAGATCCTAACACTTTTGTTTCAAACAGGTCAATTGATAAAAGTAACACCAATCAATCTGCTATTAAATTAACAAATAGAGTTAATGGTGCTTCATTGAGTACCAATATGTTTAAAAATAATATTTGTAAACAAATTAACTCTGATATTAGTATTGAAGTTGATGAGGTACCAAATGGTCCTCATCGATATACCAAAAGCGATCGTCGTTCATCTGGTATGAATGGCATTAGAAATCAGATTCATAGGCATCCATTAAATGATAAATACTTTCAGTATCGATTAACCCTTCCATCAACTAACACAATAACCAGTGATGGTTACGCTCACCACTCATCCTATCGATATGGTAACGCCGGAGGTCACCATCACCATCATCCAAGTCATCTGCACCATAGATTAAAAGGACTTTCTCTGGATAGCCATGCATTTGTTCGTCGCAACATTGCCCGGTTGGGTTCATATGGATCACCAGCAAAGCGAAAATTAGTCAAATTTACCAAAAAGCTTCGCCGGGGTCTTCTCTTTATTGCTTCCCGATTTAAAGGCCGCCCTTGGAAAGGCAAATCATCGTTTTCTGACTATAGGTCCAGTGAATACGACCATGTCACGTTAGAAAGGTACAATAGTTCTTGGTTGGCTCGAAGTGTTTCACTGCCAAACAATAGTGACCATCATAGAACACTAGCTCAAATTGATCAAGATCTATCTTGGAAATATGGATCCATTGATCAACGTCTTTGGCAGCTTGATAATGAAGAAGGCGAGTTGGAAGATGATTACAGCGATCACGATTTCAAATCAAAAAATGGCGTCAAGTATCGTAATATCAATGGTGGTATCGATGAAGAATATGAGATTGGTCTTAATGATGAATTGATTTCGGGTGAAGGTAAACAATATCAACTGGTTTACATGGAGAGTTTAGCAAACACAGAAAGTTGCTCTGGGAGTGATTTATCATTTAAACAGAATGGTAACAATCGACAGTCAACTAGACAACGGCCCCGTATATTGAGGGTTCGATCTCATTTAGAGATTGCCGATGGAACTGCTTATATTGAAGATTCAGATTGGGAAATGTGTTCAGATCCTGGAGAGTTGACCGTTTCACCATCTCTAGGGGAAGCAACTGGTCTTCGACCGGCAACAAGTTTATTCAAAATTTATCACGATTGTGGTGAAACTTTTAATTGCTGTGATAATTATACAAAACAAAATGCCAATGACTGTAATCCGGGCCAAACCATTGGTACACATAATGGTGTATCAGATGAAAGATCCTATTGTACTACATTATCTGATCCCGGGATCTCTTTGGGAAATGATCCGATGTTAACTGTTGTTGATTGTCCTGATGAATCAGAAGTTGAAAGTTACAAGCAAAGAAAGCATGTAATCGATCAAAATGAACACATTTTTCCACATGAATGTGGCTCTATTTCATCATCTCTTTTATCGAGATCTACTTCACCCTCAACGCCATCAACTCTATCCAACCATTATTGTCCAAATAGTCAGTTAAATTTTGATTCTAGTGACCACTTATTAACCCATCATTACCAGCAAAATGGATCACCAGAAGAGTCAACATTAGCCATTGATGAACCAAACCATGTTGAAATTTCTCACATTGATGATTTTATTGACAACCAATCAACCAATTGGAATAGGAACAGACGACTAGGTGGGTACAAATCAACAAATTGTTTGAGTAATAATCATGTTAATCAAGATCATCAGGTTACCAATTGGAATTCGGGATTGACGAAGATGAATAACAACCAGGAAGCAGTGGCCGATGAGATGAATGAAGACCACCAAGCAGAGATTCAATCAATAATCAACCAGAGAATGGGTGAACAGCCACCTAGTCGACCACCTCGGACACATCGTAAAAGACATTTGATGGAATCATCATTGTCATTTGACGGGTTCAATCATATTAAACATTCCAATCAACTTGCCAATCATCAGTCAACAGTTTCATCTGATTCTATCAAACATAGAATGTCATCATCAGCATCAACATTATTATTTCCAGCTTCATCAAACTCTTCTAGTGATCTTCATTATTCGATTGCTTCTAATCAAGCTCTTTTCAACATAATTATTAACAAACATCAATCATCAGAATATTGTAGATCCATGCCAAACTCAATCAAAAATTTTAATTATCTTTCTAACATTGCAAGACAAGATATTTATAGTTTTAATCAAACGTTTACCTTTCCTCTGTCAAGTCACATCAATTATTTAAATGAAAGTCTCAATTACTTAACAGTAATGAATCCTACTTTAAGACTTATCAATTTCAATGATGGACAGTTTAACGTTTTTCAACTAATTGGGTGCTCTCCAAATTTAACAGACCATTCTAATTCACTTTTAAGCCAGAATAACGTTATAAAGAGTTGGCCACCAAACTTGGTTTCTTGGGATAAATCTGCATGTACCTGTTACCCAGTTTTCCAAGAATGTTCAACTCTTCCTTTCTGTTCACATGAGTTTGATGAAAATGATCTGTATAAGGTTAATTACTTTACATTTCATCCTTATAATGAGCTTAATTGTCCCAAACACTGCTATTATTATCTACCAAATCAAATTCATCAATCATGGTGTTATGAGAAGAATCGTCATTTATTCAGATACCATCATCCAATCTATCAACTAATTAAACCAATAACCAAATTCTTAGATCAACATGACCTGACTAAACATTGGTTATACTTAATTTATGTACTTGGTACAACAATTACCTCACTTTACAATTCAATTGTTTTTCCACATTCATTTACCAGTTTGAATAGAAGCAAGATTAACACCGTTAAATATCTGCAAGAATATAATTCAAACTCTGATTGTCCCTTAAATAAGGTTAAATATTGTTTAACTTTTGACATAATCAGGCATAATTGGTGCAATACTGTTTGGACTTGTTTAAATGAAAGAATCAGTGAAACTCTTTTGATGGGCTCTATTTTTCATCCCTCACTGCTGTTGTCAACGTTGGACAGTAATTTAATTTTTGTCAACCGTGAGATTTACCAGAATTTACAGTTAATTGTGAATCAAGTAAATATGAATTGTCAACTTTCTGGAACGGAAACTGGTTTGGGTAACTTTAGTCAAACTAAGCCAACAACCTCACCCTTACCTCAATCATCTCCTCCTTCAACTTCACCAAATTGTCTTCCTCCTCCTACTTTACCAGCACAATCAACAACAACAACAACACCAAGAAAAATATCACCATCATCTCTTAAACCTGGTTTCATTGAGAGTCAAGTTAAAACTACTGATGATACTATTGCTGATGTTTTGAATGATTATGATAATAATGACGATGATGATGATGTTGGTAAAAATGCTGATTGTGGCGGCACTGGTTCCAGGAACAAGAAAAATATCAGCCGCGGGAGCAACAACAGTTGGAAAGAGGCCGTCAGACCTGATGTTGAAGATCATAACAGCAGAGTAAAAAAAGCCCCGATAAGAAACCAGTCAGAAGAAGAAAGTTACACCAGAAGTGAACTTGAAAACAGTTGCAAGGTTGATCAGTTTACTCTCGATCAGTTACTATCAACTTCAGTTTTATCCTCTTCACCATCAAGCAACCAACAACAGTTATCAGCAAAAGTAAATTTTAAACCAAGTGAATTAACATTAACATCGTCTGACAATAATTTAAATTATGATGTAACGTTTTTTTCAACAACAACAACAGAAGATAAAACTACAGCTAAAGCTTCTCAAATAAATGGAATCAAAGGAAACAAATTCAACAGTGATTTAGTCAATGGATTACATGTTTCAAATAGTCTCAATTTGATTAACCACGACACGGATAATGATCATATTTTTGTGTCACAAGTGAAATCAACTTTTAACTGTGAGAATGATGACCAAAGTGAACACATAAACTGTTTAAACAGCAACATTAATAACCAGCAACAGCAGCAACAGCCAAAATCTGATCAATTGTTTTTATTAACCTGTTTACCTATTCAACCCACTGTAAATGATTATAAACAGTTAAGCTTAAACAACCAAAACAACAACAGTAACAGTACAAACGCCAACCACAATCCAAACAAATCAACTTGCATTTCTTCCAATTCAACCTTATTAACAGTGAAAGAGGTTAATTATGACTCCGTGAATTTACATTTAGCCGCAAGTAACCACCAACACAATAATAACCAAATCAATTCGTCTTTACCTGATTGGACCATCACAGCAGAAACCAGCAAAACTATCAACAAAAACAGTTATAACAACACAAGGGTGGATAAATTGCTTCAATTTTCCTCTTTATTGCTTTCATCACCACCAACATCAGTATTATCATCATCTCCAAGTGGATTATCATCTCATCATAGTCTTTACAATCATCCATTGATTTTGACCTTGTGTTTTAAACATCTATCTATCTCTATTATTGATAATCTAATTAACAATATTGTTCCAGGCTTGTTTAATAATGACGATCATAACCAAAGTTGTGAATTAACCAAGCCTACCAGTTATCTTGATTTATCAACATTAAATCCACACTTAGCTACATGCCATGTTAAATACAACAATGTTTTCCATAAATATGATCATTGTTTAACCCAAAATCAAAATTGTAAAAGTCCTACTAATCTAATCAAGTCTAATACCTGTGAAAACCTGGAATGGATTAATACAAGCCAAAACTCAACATTAAATTTACTTTCACCAACCATCAAGAATACTGAAAAATCTGAGTCTATTGATGGAAACTGCAACATTGTGTCACAGCCAATCTTGTCATCATCAACTCCACCATTATCATCTTCATTAATATCACTCTCATTTTCACCATTTATGAAAGACGAATGGCCAAATGATGAAATTAATACTGATGATGATCTAAACCTTTTAAATGATCAATATTATAATAATAGCCAAAAAGGAAGCGAAGACAATAAGAAGGAAGAAACCAGTGAAAGAAAAATGTCATTATTTACAGTAAAAGGTCACACATCTGATATAAAATCCAACTCATCATCACCATCATCATCGTCATCATCATCTTCGGGTTTACTCAACAATTTAATCCATCCTCAAAGTGATGAGGAGGAAGAAGAGTATATTGTTGACGATGACAATTCAACTTCCTCTGATGAATCTTTTCCACCTCCAACCCTACCAAATCATTCACTGGGTGGTATCTACAGTGGTTTTGGAAATGGTTTAACTGGTGTTGGAAACAACAGTAATTATGGTAATCCATTGGCCTACTCTTTACATACAATAATTGAAGAAAGTTGTGAAGAGAGTGAACCAGAATCACTTTTATCACGAATCTCTGAAACAAATGATGGTAAAGGTGGAAACCTTGCCGGTTGTCTAATGATACCACCTTCATCATCATCCACACTTGGTGATCCTGGTGACCTGGGTGATCCAGAAAATTATACTGCCTTTCAAATTGGACGCAATGTAATCAACAAACGTGATTCCTTTGCTGAAAGTGAAACTGGAACCGATTATAGTGATAGTCTATCTGAAACATCTGAAAATATTGCCGATTTTGGTGATGAAATGGATCCGCTTACGTTGGCTTCATCAAGATTGGAAAAATATTTTACCTCTGGTCTATTGGGTTCAGGAGCCTATGATTATCCAGATGATGTTGAATTTCAAGATGAACCCGATGATTTGTACAATCAAGCCAAAAGAGCCAGTATTAAAGTAGAAATGAAACCCAATAATAACAAAAGTGACGAATCTAATAGTAATCATAGTAATAGTAAATTAAATGGAATCCAGTCAATCTCGGAATCAAATGTAATTAATAACTCACTGGTAACAACTCAAGCAACATTTACACCACCAACCATAAAATCATTATTATCCTCACAGACAGAATCAACGCCAACAATCAGTGTGGATAGTAAATTGAAATCATCACCAATTATAACATTATCAACACCACCAACAGTTATTCATGACACCACCATTCAATCAAAGGATGATGATGATGATGGGAAGAAGGAAAATATTGAAGATTATTTTACCGATACTGTTAAACGTAAACATATCAATGAAAGTAAATCGGAAAAGGATTGTATACCGAGAGGACATAATAAGGAAAATAATGAAAGCCAAATTGTAAACACTATTCTCAATGTAATTGAGAAACCTCTGTCAAACAATCAACTAATTGACAGTTCAAATTGTGTAGATAAAGTGAAAGAGATTCTCACTGAATCTAGTCTCACTAAAAATGAAGAGTATAATAAAAAGACTGATAATGACGAGTTGACCAGGAATGTTACAATTGAAGTAAGATCAACGACACCCACAAAACCAGCAACACCATCATCAGCCATCAAAAATGTCAATTTAATCACCGATAATAACAATACCAAATCTACTGTGATTAACAACTGTAAAACCAACCAATCTACAAGTCGAACGGATAGCAGTAATAGTCCAATGTCATTTACCAAATCCAATTATTCCGGAGACAAATTTAATTCAGGTTACCATAAAAAAGAGGCAGCCCCACCGGTACCAACAATTTATACACCCGCCAATAAACCCACAGTGGAGTCAACCATTCGTTTTGGACCGTCGCCACAATTGGTTCGCAGTTTGTTAGCAGGTAACAATGATTACCAATCATTTGATGTTAATCAGGATTATCATGTTAATATTTATTCTGGTGATGGTGATGGTAAGGTTGGTGAAGGTGAAAAGAGTAAAGTCTTAATTGTTAACAATGTTGGTAATAGTAATGATGGACAAAATGAGATGAAATGCTCTTCACTGGTTATTGATGAAAAAGATGAGTCTATTGAAGGATCAAAAGTTTTTGTTAGGCAGCTAATGATGAATATTTTGAGGGAAAAATCCTTCATTGATGATATTTCCAATTATTGTTGTAAAAATGATAGCAATTATGCCTGTGATCATGTTAAATCTCCGGTGAAACTTGAATCTAAAATGGTCTCTAATAAAGGCCATGGTCAATCGTTCAATGGGACATTTTGCCTTCCCTCTACAAGCTTTATCAATAATGATAATGTTACCTTTAATCAGGTCAATTTGTATGAAAATGAAACTAATGTTAAGTCAAACTTATTGATACAATGTCTAAATGAATTGGTGACTGACAGTGAAAGTGTTGACAATAACAGTCAAAGTAATGTTGAATGTAAAACAAATTATTACAATGTTAATGATAATGATGGTGATGATGATAATGAGGAAAGGATAATGATGAAAGATGATTCTGGTTACGCATCTAATGTTGCTCCAGAATCTTGTGAATCGAATGTAAAAATTGAATCAAGTCAATCGAAAATGATCTCAAAGGATGAAATGATGTTGATGTGTAAACAAATGATGATATCATTAAATGAATTGATTAATAAGGATAATAATGATTGTGCCAATCAAATTGAAAAAACAAAGGAATCCTTTAAAGATGAAATAATTGGTTTAATGTCCAAATTTGGGTCAACATCAAACATTTCTTCGTCAACATTTAGTTCAACCTCAGAAACATCAACATTGAAAAACTGTGCATCTTTAACTTGCCATAATCTTTCAAAGTGTAATCATTTGTCAAACCCAGAGAACAATGAATCATCAACTTTCAATCTGATTAACAGTTCTAGTTTGATTATAAACAGTGATTCATGCTTTAATGGTGATAATAATAATTTATGTTTATCAACATCTTCACCCTCCTTGAAAAGTAATCGTAATGAACTGGAAACATTTGCTGTTAACCAATTTCCTTGCAACCTTTACCCTCCTCCTCCTCCTCCCTTCAAGTCAACACCTGAAACAATTCCAACGACCATTTCAATAGCAAGTTATGAGGATGACGATAATGGCTCGGAAGAAACAAGAAAAGCGCCAACCAAGTGTGAAATATCACCTGAAATGGAAGAATCGTTTGTAAAGTTTGTTGAACCATTGCCGGGTAAAATCAGTGATTACCAGCAGATGGAAAGCAAAACCAGTAACAAAAAGATGACAAAGATTATCAACAATCAAACCCTAGATGAGAAGGAGGAAGCAAAAGATAAAAGTAAAGATGGAAAGCGAAAAGGAAAAACTGAAGAGGAAAAATTTGCTTTAAAAATTGTATCCAAAGATTTAGTTGATGACAATGGCAGATTGAACAGCTTACAAACACGCACCTCCTTGTTTACAAATGTTGAACGTAATTCAACACGTGAATCAGAAGAAGATGATAAGACTGTTAATGAGAGACAACAATTTTCATCATTATCGTCATCATCAAAATCACCAGAAACATCATTAAACCGGTCACAAGCGTACATTCAGCTTGATAATGTGGAGGAGGAAAATGGCTCATTCAATGGAGACACGATCAACACGATTTATGAACGGATTCACGATGTTTACCAGATAAATGCCAATCCAGTTAAACACACGTTCAACCATTTACATAATCATTTTGATAAACATTTAGAAAATGATTTAATGGAAAAATGTTCAGCCATCATTGAGGAGAAAGGTGATTTACATGGTTTTCCTGGTAAATGTAACCCAAGTGGTGAAATTGTACAAACAAGTCGTCTTAATCATAAAACAATTCTTAAAATAGATGTTAATGGTGATGAGGATGATGATGATAAAGTAAATTCAAGTGATGTTTCATTATTACCTAAATCTTTGGTGAATCACAATTTCCTGTCTGATGAATCAACCTTTTTTGATGATAAATATTTTGAAAGCAATGAAACAATTAAAAGACAACAAATTTTGATTCCCTCAACTAAAATAAGCATTTTAACAGCACCATCATCATCAACAACAACAAGAGTAACAACAATAACAAGAGGAGGAGGAAGAGATGAATCAACTGATGAAGATAAAGAGGTTAACTTTAACAAGCCCAACTTTAATAATAGTGAAAATGAGAAACTGGAAAGTGCATGGGAAACATGTTCATTGTTAATCTCCAGAGTAGCATTAAAAAATTCATCTGAGTTTGATGAAGGATCATTGGTTGGAAACAATATAATCTCAAGTTCAACAACAGAAACACCATGTTCATTACCAATGGTGGCTATTGAGAAATCGCCATCTTCATCACCACTGCCAATAATAGGGTTGAGATTGATGGCAGATTGTAAAATTAAAGGGAAACCCGAGCATCGAGATACTGGCTATTACTCTTTTCAATCATCTGATGAGAATGTTAAAGATAAAAGTTATTCCGAGGATGATGATTATGATAACAACAATTATGATGATAATGGTTATAAACCAATTATGGTGAAAACAATTTTGGCTGGGAAAGGACAAGCCGAGTCAGTTTCATCAACACCAGTAACAACCAAAGTTGTCATTAATTGTGACCCTCAGTCACAAAACAATGACAATGATAAACCTTTTGTTGCTTCTGTTGATGATGATAAAAATTTTAATTCAATTGATTACAAGTCGTCTGATTATTCATCCAAGAAACGTTTCACCTCATCATCATCTGTGTTACCAAAAATTTTGCAGATGGACGAAACATTAGCCTTTAAAAAGGTTAACTTGTCTTCAATTGAAATAAACAGTAAAACCGATTCATTGGCCTCAAAAAATGATTCAAAGCAACATTACCAACCTGAAAAAGCCAAACATCATAATCTTGATCATCATCCATCTCATCATCATCACCATCATGTAACCTTTAATCGTCTTAGAACATCTTTTTTCTCGTCTTCTTCTGGGTTATTCAGAAAGTTGGCCTCACTTAGAGGTAAGGAGACAAAAAAAACACTGCAAGATGATCGTAAATCGCTAATGAAACTAAACAATTGATTATCACAATTTACTCATTTTTTTAAATCATAACAATCACCATCATCTAAACAATGCCAACATTAACCACCAACTTACCAAGTAACAAACAAAACCAACAACAATTTACTCAAATTTCATGGCTTTAACTCTAACTTTTCATTTCTCTCTTTTTTATCCCTTATTATCATTTAATTGTTGATGAATTAAGCAACAATTGTCATTATTATGCACAGCTAATTGTATTAACAGTCCAATTTGTTTTGGATTTACCTTGGATAATCTGACAAACATTTACATTTCAACTAATGATTGATGCTTTTGCTTTTCCCATTTACACTTGAATTTGTCTTTTTTAAACATTACATCTAATACTCCATTTAATATATTAATACTATTACTATTATGATCAATATTTTGTTTTCGTCAATCATGTTAATTTAAATTGCATTTTAATTTTTCCGTTTTTTTCTCTTCACAATTCATTTACAGATGAAAAATCTTCAAATAGACGTTTGGGAACACGAAAAAGAGTTATGCTTGGTGGAAGTGAACCTTGTCCTTCTAATGAGTCTACCTCAGCAGTTCCTCATATTTCTGTTTCTGATTATTCTGAGGTAATATTTTTGAACCCTTTCATGATTGACTAAAATTACATTTCTACACTTTTGAATGACAATTGTTGAACCTGTAACAAACATCCAACATCCAATAACTCAAAAAGTAAAGATCAATCTCGTCAGTTATGATTGATGATTTACTTTTTTTTCATTTTCTTGACTGGTTAAACATTGATCAATTGATACATTTTTTGCTTCATTTTTTAACTCCTTTTCAAAATACAATTGAACATCTAAATCATCCAAATGATAAAAGTTCAATTAATTGCAACAGTTTTTAAATGAGACAAGAAAATGTCAAAATTTTGATTCCAATCTCAAACCCAAACTCAATGTAGAATGGTTGACATTTGTAATACTTATAAATGTTAAAATTGCAAGCTTTGCAAACCATGAAATTGAGCAGCCGACTGAATGAACACTTTAGATTACAATTTAACCCCACTTTTACCAATAAAATTAATGATTAATTGATTTCTTTCCAATTCTCTTTTCCTAAACCAGAGTTTCTCCCATAGAGGAAGCATTGGAAGTTCAGGAGAAGAAATTTTCATCTCAGCCGAAGACGACATCGACAAAGCATTTGCTTACCACAACCGTAGTCAAACCAGTTTATCCTCATTTGGAGTAAGTATCGATTCAACAATTAAACAATTTGTATCATCAAATTAAATCATTAGCTGAACAATGGTTTAATTGGAAAGACAAAAAAAGCCAGTGAAAGTAGGAAAGTAGGAAATGCAAAAAAAGAAACCTTTAAAGCAGCAAAAATAAAAAGCTTGGGCTAAACAACTACTCGTTGTCAACTAATTTAATGGTCAGCTTGATCTGGATCAACATTAATTGTTTCAATTTATAAATTATTGAATTTTCAGGTCCGCAGTGAGAGTCTGTCAAGCGTTTACAGTGCAGCAGGCGGTGGTCGCTATGGAACCGTAACAGTCTCCGGTGAAATCCTTTTTTCACTCAATTACCAACCATCTGAAGGTTCACTTGAACTTTACATTAAAGAGTGCAGAAATTTATCTCCAGTTGATAGTAAACGAAACAGATCAGATCCGTAAGTGGCAATTAATTTAATTTTTTATCTTAATTCAAACTCGAACCATGCAAATGCTGTTATCAATTGTATTGTTGAAACTCACACTGTTATTGATTGCTTTCATTCAATTACAGTTTGGTTAAATTGCTGACAAATCAAATTATCATATCTTCTAATCACTATTAAGCTTTCAAATTAAATCCATTGTTTGAAGATTTCTGATGTTCAACATGTTCCATGTTTAACAGACATTCAATTATGTATGAACATGTTTGATTCCCTCTAATATTATAAATATTCATTGGAATTTTATTTTGTTCATTTGAAAGTTTACAGGTTAAATATATTATTCATTTGTTGATCAATTTCCAAGCAGAATGCGTTCAATTAATATTGGTCAATTGAATCTCTAATCAATACTTGATGTTCATTTAATTTGACCACTTGCTTAAACAAAGGTTGAACCAAGAGTAAAATTGCAAGGATATCAAGAGTTGCAATCAAATTGCACTTTTATTTCTTTTTCCATGGTATTTATTCAGGTCAAATATCACTTTCCTGAGTCTTTGGTTTCAGGATAACAACTAAAGAGTCCAAAAAACTCTTCATTGAGTAAAGACACTTTCATCTTAGCCATTTCACTTGAATAATATTACTTCATTTGGTGAAAAACTTTCTTCTTTACTTTTCCCTGTAATAGTATAGCCAAAGTATCATTATTATCATTATTTATAGCAACAAATTTTTTTCCCTCAAAACCTTTAGAAGTGTTGAAAACTGGAAAAGTAAAACTTGCAAGTGAACCTGAAATTTTACCTGCAAAGCAACCCAACAGGTCTAAACTTTGACAGCCTTTTAGTCTTTACACCAAGCTTGTTGTGAAGCTTGAATGCTCAAAAATAATGCCATTCAGATTAATATTACTTTTCAAAATGTAAATGTATTGAGGTATCAAGCTATTTCTGGTTAACCTTTTTTCCCAACAAAATTCATTGATACATTGTTTTGCTTTTCACTTGGGTAATGAGACACTTGCAAATAATTGCTAACTCAGTTGAAAGTATTAAATATTAGATTTACAATTGTTGATCAAAACGATTAAATGAGTTCAATTATCAAGATTTCAGGCTCAATTTAAACGTTGACTTGTAAGCTGAAAAACATCAAAATCAAGTGTATTTAGGTTTCTGCAACAGACTGTATCAAAACCCAATTTTAATGTTTATTTTTTGGTTGTTGTTTCATTATTGACTGATTTCAAAGTCATGTTAAGATGAATTTTTGAAAACAGATTCTCTTATTTTCTAGGAAATGTTGATATCAAATGTTAATATCAAATGTTAATCAGTCTCAAGTTTGGTTTTTCAGCTTTAATTTTGTCTGTTATTCATTGCAATTGTTCATTAGTTTAAGCCTTCTCAAAGTTTACTTTATAATACCGGTTAAGATGGAACCGATTCCAAGTGAAAACTTTCTGATATTAATCTGAATCAATTGATAGCTTTGCATTTCAAGAATTGATCTGATTTTAATCGGAGCGCAAACAAAATAATTTCAAACTTGAAACAATCTTTTGTAAACATTTTCGCGAAACCTCTTGAATTTCATGGACAAATTTAATGATTGTTTCCATTTTGATGAATGATTTTTCTCAAAGCAATTACAAGCACCGTCTTTGAAAAACTAGCAAATTATTTAAATTACCTTTTGAACACTTAACATGATAAGGTCAAATGTCACAAGACTTACGATTTGATTTTGTTTCTTTAAATCTGTAAATCTTTAGATCCCAGTTGATTGTTGCTTGTTGATTGATCACCTTTTTTGTTGAATGTTTTCTGTCCGTGACAATTGACATTTACCTTTGAAAATTTTCACTTTTCCAGTTAATATTTTTTCCCATTATCTTGTAATGCCACAATAACAAGAAAAAAAACGCAAACAAAATTGAAAAAACTGAATAAAATGAAACACTATTTCAGTTGAATAGAAATTTTCTAATCTCAACAATTTTATATCAACATGTTGACTTTTCATTCAGTCCTTTTTTACCTTTGATTTGTCTCTGACTTTCATTTACAATTAAAGCTGAGTTACAAGCTGGTTTAATGTGTTGTTGATTATTCAAATGATAATAATGTCAACAACAAAAGGCATAAGTGCGTAAACTCAAGAATTGAATTAGACGGTAAATATTATCTTTTCATTGCTAACCAGAAAAGTAAATCATTTCGTGATCAAATGAAAAGTTGAAAATTGAAGGTTGATAATAAACTGAAAGATTGAACCCAATTGTTGGATAAATTGTTAGATTAGTTCATTGATTATCTATAAATGACTAAATCAATTTTCACTCAAACTGGTTCATGTTAACACATGTTTAAACTCAATTATCATTAGAGATGATAAAGTACCCAAAATGAATACAAATTGAACTTGAATTTGATAACCTTTCACATTATGAGCTACATTTTGACTTTTTTCATTGTTTTACTTTTAATGGTTGGAATCTTGAAAAACCAGATTTCAAAGTTTAACTCTTATTGTAAATTGGAATGAAAATTATGATTCTAATTATGATTTTAATCATTTCATTCATATCATGATGTTAGCCGATTCTTGACTCTTTCCAAGCCTATTAAAGGAAAAGATTTTCAGTTTTCATTGCAACTCAAAATGAAGCAGTTTTTTGCTGGATAATAACAAATTGTTGGTTATCTTTAAAAAATTTCAAATTCCAGGCCAAATAGTTAAACTGACATTAATTTATTGACTTTGAAAAGATTGACCTACTTGCTATATCATCACTTGATCAGTTTTTATGCTCAAATATTACATGAAAATTAGGTTCATCCAACTATCAATTTATCTTGATCATCTTTTTTTGACTTACCTTTCAATCACAATAACGGTAAAATGAACCGGATCTCCAAGTGAAAGTCTGTATCGATAGTTTATGAATTTTATAATCTTCAACTTCGATTCAAGTTTCCATCTTTACCAATATCTGTTGATTAAAATCAATCATCAATTCAAGTTATTTAGCTTAACCATTTCGATGCATCTTACAGTCTCATCTTTACCAATATTAATGGTTGCAAGTTTAACAATGAATTGAAAGGGTTTTATAATGGTTGTTGCATCAATCATTTTTTTCATTTTTATTTTGCTTTATTCATTCAATATTTAGCTTTGATCAAAGTCATTGAACAATTTTTGTTGATGAAATCTTTCACAGATTATGCTTTCAAATGGTGCATACAATTGAAACTAAATGTAATTTAATTTCTAATTTCATTGCAATCAATGATTCGGAAATAAATGCAAGGTAATAATTGAATTTGCTTCCGGGTAAATGACATTGTCGATGAAAATCAAGTCAATAAAAAACTCAACATTCCAAGTATGCAAATTGTTGATGAACAAAAATTAAACATTAAATTGACTTCAAATCTTTTCCTTATGTATTAATACATTGCTTGGTTAACCAATGTGATTATTATAACAATTGTCCGGACAAACTGTTTTAACTGTTGTGTTAACTGTTTTACTTGCAATATTAACACCAACCAATAAACCTTGTAATCTTTGATGATCATGTTAACCATTATGTTGACTAGGCTTACTCAGCTGAATATTGATATTATTGGGATTGCAAAAACTCGATTGTCAGCTAATCTAACACAATCAATATAATCTATTCCATTAGATTAACCATTGACAATTCAACCTTTCCAAGTTTACTTTTCCTGAAATAGCAATTTTCGCTTCTCATTGGTCTCATTTGTTTCTCATTAACCATTGATGTTAACATGATATTTGCTCAATAATCCGAGCTTTTGGTTCTTGCTATTAGTTTATAATCATCTCATCACTTCCAATTAACTTGATCAATCTTGATTGTTGACCGTTCTTTTTACTCTCATCTTGAGCTCATTTTAGATCAACCTTTGAGTTTAACTCGTTTCTTAATTTTGCTCAATTTTCATTTTCCTTGTTTAGTTTGATTTAAGTTAAACAACAATTCAATTGAAAACAATTTTCTCGTCTCAAGCCTTTGAATGGATGAAATACAATTATTGTATCAACTTTGAAATGTTGCTTCTTCTGTCTCTTGTATTTCAATTCAAGTTACAGCTTAGGAAAATGACATTTTGTGTTTATATTGCATTCATTCAATGAATTTTCAATTAACCTAAAATTTTACTTTAACTTTCATGATACTTTATGATTACTTTCAGGTGATGATCATATTTTGGAGTTTATTTTAAACTCATTCAAACATACACTTAATATCAATTATTAATCAAACCCTTGACCTCAACTTGCTTATTTACAATTACCATTTGAAACCATGAAATTAAGATCATCATCTTTTTACAGTTTATCAATTGTAACCTTATTTAGTCAATCAAACCTTAATCTGTTCAATCAGATGGCAAAAAAGTCCAGTTAATATTAGATGAGAAAACAAAAAGAATTGAGTTTCTGAAACAATTTCATCTTATCCGTGTTTTTTGATACCAAATTGACCTTTAAATTTACCTTTTTATCTTTTTTGATCTCAATCAATAAATCACACAAAATTACCTGTAAATGGTGTTAATCGTTATAAGTTTACCTTATTTGGTTCAACTGCAATTTAATCATCATTTTTACTAATGATTGTAATGACAGAATACTTAGATTGTCATTTTCATTGAACAAGCTTCAATTATTAATATATTTTTGCACTTAAACTGTAAAATTAATGAAAATTTTGCATCAATTTTGGAAATTCATTTTTCTATTTTTATCCAAATGATTGTAATTGATCAATAATATTGCAATAGAGCTTAAATATCAAGAAGATTTATCCTTTTTGATCAATGGATTTGCCCTTTCGATTAACACTTAAATCATGACTATCATGATAATCATTATTTTTAGCTACAATAATGAATATAAATGAATGGCCAAAATCAATGAATTAGGTCGTCTCAATGATAAATCATAATTGTTATTAATAGCAGCCATTAATGCATTAAGACAAAATGAATCAGTTTTAATGTCTTATTAATATTTCATTGTTTTCAAATATTGAACTCTTATGTTTAAAATTACCTTTAATTAGTATTTGATATTTACCTTAATATCTCAATATATGAACATAATTGCCATTATGTGAATATCGGTAAATGCTGATATCAATTTAAAGTAAATCTGGTTTATTGGTATCTTGAGTTCAGTTGTTTGGTTAACATTGAATCAACAATACAATTGCATGTTTCTTTGAATGTTATGATTGTTTAAGTGATTTAACTTGATTTTTTTGTTACTATTTGATTACAGTTATGTTAAATTATATCTATTACCTGATCGTTCAAAGAGTGGTAAACGCAAGACCAAAGTGAAAAAGCATACTTTAAATCCTGTTTTTGATGAATCGCTTAAATTTTATTTACCTTCAAATCAAACGGAGGGCCGAACTTTATGGATCTCAGTATGGCATAGTGACATATTTGGTCGCAACGATTTTCTTGGTGAAGTAACTTTACCTTTAACCAAGGAGATTCTGAAAAATTCAGGGTTAAGATGGTATCCACTTCAAGAAAGGGTAAGTTGGCAAAACAATTGAAGATTGACTAAAGGATTGTACAGTTTTAGCAAAAATACAAGACAAGCTCAAGTCAATCATTTTTAGCGAAAAATATTCAATTCTTTTAATCTTGTGCCTTGATTTGTTCATAAGTATCAATATCAACAATAAGTATCACCTTGAAAAGCCAAATATGAACTGTTCATCTTCAGACTTCATCTGAAAACAAGTTTCATCAAAATTATCATTTCAATCTTAAATTCAAACATATCATTCCAACCTTCAACATGTTAACATTTCTGAGACTTCACTTGTTTATCTGTAATTTTATTGCTCATCTGATGATTCGTTTAATCGTACATTTAATTACTTTAATTTCTCAGTTGATCGTCTAGTTGATTAGTTGAGTATGAGTGAATGAATTTAATGAAGTTAATCTTGAAGCAACTCTTTTATGCCCTTGTTTACCTTTCCATTGATCAAACATCGATCCAATTGGACATTCAACAATCAATATCCAAACTCAAATTTACTCAATAAGATTGATATATTTTTAAGTGTCCATTACAAATAAAGAGCAAAAAATATGGACAAATGAAACTAAAGAGTTGTTGAGGCAAACAAAGAGGTAAACCTTTTCACTTTTCTGGTCAAATCAATTGTAATTTTCATTGTTTGATGATTAGACATTTTGGGTTGTAAATTGATTGTCCGTACAATAACCAATCAATATAAGGATCTTCGTATTTCTGGTCAATTTTCTGGTTCCATCAAAAAGGTTAACCTTTTACAGTCGACTAAATATGATTGCTTTGGTTGAATATTGTTGTTGGTCATAATCAACCCTAACCCGATTGATCATCTTTAAGGGTCAATCTTGATGTCTAACAATTTAGATTTGCTATCAATTTTTTAACCTTCATTCCAACTTGCCATTAATTTTGGATAATTGTTGCTTCTTTTAAACACATGATTGATCTCATGATAAACCAATCTTCGTCTAGCAATCGCCATTAAATTAGCTTCTTTTTTTTATCTAAAGTTAACTCTAACAAATCAATTAGATTAATTAAGAAGCAATTCAAATCTTTCAACTTTCTTTTTTTATCTTGCCTGTAAACCCAAAACTCTGAATTGAACTGAATCGATGTTTCACTTTACCGGTTTAACAGATCGCAAATCAATTAGAAATATTGTCTGTATTTGCACTCAATTTCATCCTAATCTAATCTTGAAATTACTATTAAATTGTGACGCCAACCTTGAATAGTTTTGTTGATTACTTTTGGTTTGTTGATTATCACAATTACTTTTACCATTTACATTCACTTTAAGATATTGAAATGTAATTGAAGGAAAGACTTTTCAATGAGCTTTACTCCAACCTTAACTGCTATTGTTTGAAAAGGTGTTAATCCAACTCTTTGTATGGTAATACCATTAATCAATGTTTATGATAATTAAACATTCAACTATAAATATTCAAAAATGTCGATTCTTCCGATTACCATAAATTAATCAAAATTAACCCATTTCCATTTGTTTACAAGTAAACAAAAAATAACCTTTTTTAGGCTTTTTTAAACCTGAAAATGATTCGAGTTACCTTTTTCCGCCCAACACTTACAACTGTTGACGCATTTTGTTTATAACCATGTTGATAGTCAACTGATTGTAGGTGTTTTGATTTACGTTTAAATTTCAATTACTTTACCAACTAAATAATGTAAATCAAATCTTCGCCTACCAGCAAATTGAAGCTATTCAAGGTGATATTTACCTTTGTTGATTTTGTCATTTTTATCCTCTTTTATCCTCTTTAGTGTTTCATTATTTTGTTTAAATTTTAATTTAAATCTTTTTTTTATTTCTCTACTAGATTGATCTTCTTGAATCAAATCATAATTACAAAGGTGATATTTTCATAGCATTGAAATTTGTTCCCTCCGAATCTTCACCATCAAAAGGATCAAACAATAAGAATGGTCTTCAGGGTAAATTGCTGGTTCTGGTTAAGGAAGCTCACAATTTAATGCCAACCCGAAGCAATGGAACCTCTGATCCTTTTGTCAAATGGTGAGACAATCAAGGCTGTGTTTAAAGGATTATCATCAAAAAATGTTCACAATCAATTGTCATTTAGCTCTTGCTAACGATACAGTCTAGAGTTAGATCCTGAATTTGCTAAAAAAGGTTCATTCTTTCCCAATATATCAATCGTATCAAAAAGAGTGAAAAAATGACATCAAATGAAAAAATAATAAAGACTATCAGAATTAGTGAATGAAACAAAAAGGTAAACAATCGTAATAATGAAGATAAATGGTGTAAATTGTTGTAATAATGGTTTGTGTTTTAGTGAAAGATGAGAGGTTGAAGTGGCTGTATATGTAAAAGAGGAAAATATTTCAACTCTATTTACACTGAAATAATGCATTTGGTTGGAAATTTCAATCTGATTGTTGAACCTTTTTTCTGGTATATTTGGATCCTTTGAAAGCTTATTAAGCTCAGTTTATGTCTTATTGTCTTTTATTTTAGGACAATTTGTTGTATTGTTTTTTTAAATGAACTTTTGTTAATATCTTTTGTTTTCTGCTTCTTTTACAGTTACCTTCTTCCAGATAAAAGTAAAAAACATAAGACTCCAGTCATCAAGAAAACAATCAACCCTCGATGGAATCATACATTTGAATTTGACGATGTAACCACTAATGGATTGAAAGATCGATGTTTAGAGTTGACCGTCTGGGATTATGATAAATTGACGAGCAATGATTTCCTTGGAGGAGTCCGACTAAGCCTAGGCCAAGGTACCTAATTGTCATGATAAAGTCTCAACTCAATCACAGGCAAATCTTGAAGCCCAATCATCAATCTAATCTTCAATTCATTTTCCAACTCAATCTCCTAATTAATTTGAACATTCAGTATATAAATGAAAGGATTGACAGGATTAGGATAAAAATCTTTCACCATTTTACCTTCTTCCTCTTCAGTCATCGTGAAATCATTTTTACCTCTCTCTCTCTCCTATTACTTGATTATAATGGTTTAAATGATGGACAAATTGTTGCTGGTTAAATCAGTTGACTCTTCATCATTGCCAAAATAATGATGTAGGAGGAAGATGAAAAAGGTTAAATAGTGACGTTGTAGCTGAAATTTTCATTTCTTCTTTCATGCTTTTTCTACCTTCAAGACTTTCATTCATCTAATTTTGCCTTTTTTTATCTTGACTTTAATTTGTCTGTTTACATTCAAGCATAAATAATTGTACATCCAAATCATTAATGAGGTTTTACCTGATTAGCCTCTAATAATTTATTCAATTGATGCCATTTAGTGTTTTTTGGTATTTGAATGTTTCCATATTCAACAAGTTGACTTTACATCTATCTATTCAGTAGTATTGTCTCACTGCATCTGAGTTAACCCTTTCTGAGTTTCAACAAACAATAGAAACTAAAAAATAGTTGTCTTTGAGACGATTTATTCAAACAAACTTGGGAACATTTGAAGAAGACAAAAAATGTCACCTGAATATGAATGCTTTAAATTTACGGATCAGTGTTTCTTGTTTAGTTTGAGGGTTTTTTGTTTCCTTTTTTTGTCATTCATCATCTGCTACTTGTGATAAATTTACCTGTCTTTGCTGGACGATGAGCTTGATTTATTATATCAAAAATATCCTTTTTCAATAAATTGGATCACCAATTGGAGATGAAATATTTTCAGTTGTTATTTTAATGTTCATTAATGTCAGAAAATCATCTTATTAGATTTCATTGTAAGGAATTGAGAAAATGATAATCTAACACTTTCTTTTGTCATTTGGCAATTTAATCATTTCATTCATCAAGTCAACTATTTCTGATTCATTTGTATCTCTTCTTGTTAATCCTTTTTTTGTGTAACCTTTTATCCAATCTCATCCTTTTAATTGTTTCAATTTGTTGAATAGCTTCTAATTAACTTCTTTTCTTCTGTTTTGATACATTAATGTATTGTAATAGGTGTCTATGATGGTAAACCGGTTGATTGGTTGGATTCATCAGAGGAAGAGATGATGTTATGGAAACAAATGCTTGATCGAACTGATATGTGGGTCTATGGAGAGTTGTGTTTAAGATCAAGTTTACAATCTCGGGCCACTCTACTCAGATGATATTGATGACAATTAAGTTGATGAATCTTTTAATTACCCATTGATGGCGAAATAATGTTATGCAAATGAACCAGGGACCGTTGGAGATGTAACATTGAAACAAGTCGATTCTACTTTTGGTTAACTTTCAATTCAATACATCAATTTATGGATGGACAAAATGAATTGATTTATATTTATATATTGTTGATGTGAATATGCTGACTGTAAATTGTGTTATTTGATTAGATTGTGCATATGTTTTCACTCCAATGTTACCAATTATGAATTGAAATTATCATGTCTCTCTTACAGTGTTTTTATGCACAATCAATTTAAAGCACTTGATGAATATGAACAATGTTTGATATACAAGAATTTCCAGAACCAAAAAAGGACAAAATAATCTAAAAATGATTAACACGAAATGTGAATAATTGACATCCTCCAGTGTTAATTGGCAAAAAATAATCAAAATTGGATTATTTGTTGAATAGAAATTTTTATTGTTGTTATTTTTGCTGTTGAAAGATATTTATTGTATCAAAAGCAATCTTTCATTTATGATTGATTGATGTTTTTTGTTTTCTCTTAAGTCAAAAACTAACATCGTCTAATTGTTTGTCAAACAATGAATAAATTATGATCAATATAAATTACTGATCAAGTAAATAACAAACTGCGCCACTTCAAATGTGATTTTCATTCAAATATCGATATTCCCAAAAGCAATGAAACATTTTCCAGAAATATTTTTCACTCATATTCATCCTCACTAGCAATTAATATATTAAAATTCATTTCAAATAATGTTATCAATCGATAATCAAAAAATTTGATTACTCTGTTGAATATCAGTCAATTTAAGGTTAAGAAAATGCAAATAAAGCAATGAAATGAATAAATTAATGCACATACGAACAAATTAACATATCATTATAAAATTTAACATTCTCTAAATGTGATCAATTTGTTATCTAGTGTACCAATAATTAACTAATAAATATTTTGTAAGACAATGTGTAAAAATAAATGTAAAAGCCTAATTATGTGTTGAAAATATATATTGAACTTTACAAAAAATGATTGTAAAATCAACGTTCGAGTGATTAATATGGATTGATTGGGTTGAAAGAGTAAATTTTGATATGATACAAGTCAATGTTAATAAATCATTCATTTTTAGTTGAAAATATCTTTCATGTAAATACATTAATTAAAGATCTTGTAACTTTTGAAATGCCATTATAATTGTTATTTATAAGTTAATCATAACATTTTCGTATAAGCTGTTTACATTTGTCTTCAAGATTCATTTTCTTGTCATACAGAAAAACTTTTTTGCTCCGGACGATGATGATGGTTTAAATGCCAATATGTATGAAGTATGAAATTCATGTTGATGCCAATTCAATGACAACTATTGTAGCTCTTCGATTTTCATTTTTTCGTTAGTCAATTGAGCTATTTCTGTCATGATTTTAGATTTAATTAGATCTTTAACCTAGAAAGAAACAATATTCGTTTAGTTGTGACATTTAAAAATGAGTATCTTTTGTATTTACCTGATAGGACTGTGAAATTTCATAACAAGTATTTATACTTGTACTGTGGAGCATCATTTTTTGTTTGGCTAATGCGAGAATACAATTTCGGACGCGAGAAATTACTTCCCGGTCAGCTAAGGGAACTGGATCTAGGTTTATAGCAAAACCGCCTGACTCAACACCTTCAGAAACTGGTAATGATATCCAAATATATCCATTGTTACCAAGAATAAGGTGAACACCACACGGTAAATTGTGAAAATGAGTTTTCCTCCTTTCAACTAGAGATGGAGAAACCCGAAGAAGCACTCCTTGTCCAAGTTTGCCATACTTTAAATTACGTGTGTGAACAGATAAAGCTCCATCAGCAAATATTGATTGTACTTCAGCGGAAATTAAATCTCCTTCTTTGAAAAATGATTTCATCATTAATTCATCCTCGACCGTTTTACGACGCAACTCTCCACCGGGTAAATTAACGGAAGACAGTAATAAAATTGTATCTAACCGAGAGCTCGTATCAATACGCCAACGTTTATGTTCTGTTTGAACATCAATCACACGACCCACAACAATGTCTCCAATTTCACCATTATATCTGGTTCTTAAAGGTCTCACTGATAATAATTTATTTACTTTGTCAATACAGCCAGCAACGGAAGAGGTTAATACTTTAGACTTATAATAAGTTCCATGACCTCTCATGTAATCGGCATCCTCTGTAAAAATAATAAGTTCACATTACACACAATAATAAACTGCAAATTTAAAAAAGCGAAACTTACCTGTAACAGTGTCACCCGGGAGGCACAACATAGTGTTCAAAATGATCTAAGATAATTGTTGATGAAAAAATAAGATTTTCGAGAATTGTAATTGAGTAAAATTCAGATTAAATCAATTTGTTTACCAAAAAATACAAAAACTCGTGTTTTGAAATGTTGCTAAGCAATATTTCAGTAGCGCCAAGTGTGAAAAACTGATAAATAGAGAAACCTTGCATCAGAACTTCTTATCCAGAAGCTTTTCAGCCTAATCAAGACTCTATTCGGAGTAACGAGATTATTTTGTGAGGATTAGTATTTCTTGAAACATCAGGCACAAATAGGATAAATGAAAATGTATACTTTTTACATAACTTTAATAGGAGTGAAAATTATGATTCCAAAGAAATATAACATACATGTTTAATTTCACATGTCATTTTTACAAAAGTGATTAAAGTGATGAAGTTCACAACTTTTCTTCATAAATAAATAAAGATGTAATTGAGATGGGTCGAAGCATGGTCAACTCCAATGAAATAATTATTTATTGTATTTGAGACAGAAAAATTTATCTTGCATTATTTTTGGTTTTTGGTCACTTCTCTTCCTATTAATAATGGTTTGTTTTGTTTAGCTCACAATTTTCAAGCAAGTGAAAGTATCACAGATACATTATCAACAGGAGAATTGAGTGAATCAAAAGAAGTTTGAGTTTCCAGAAACTGAATATTGTTGAGTGAATAGATTTCCCTGGTTCTTAAATTTTCAATGAGCCTTCTTAAGATAATTTGAGCTCGATTTTCAACTTTATCATTGGACTTAAGTTTGGGATCACATTCCATAACCTCGTAATTTCCTTTCTCTGGATTCCAGACAATTTTAAATTCCAACACTGATTTACTATTACAGGGTTCACTAATTATGGCCAAGATGTAGGCATAAATTTTGGAAGGTTTGGTATTTACTCCAAAGACAAGAACTTCATAGTTTGAGAGGCCAATAAAGTTGTTAACGTTCTTCTTGTCAAGAGTCTCAGCTAGAACTTGTTCAATGTCCAATACAGAATTATTTACTTTACAACATTCTCCTTTAATTTCAGGCTTTTTGATTTCCAAAAAAATGATTTCTGTTCCAGTGTGAAATGCGCAAACCGAGGGACCAAAAAGAAGTAATCCTGGAGAAAGATACTCATTGAAGCTAACTTTGTTCTTTCTATTTGGAGTAAAAAGTAAAACAAAAAGAAAATGAGTTAAAAATCTTTTCATTAAATCAATGAGAACTGAAATATAGCGAATTCGATCGATAATCACAAAAATAGATCGAATAGGAGTCAACTCCAAGAATATGGTCGATGTGAAAAGACAGACAAACAATTGATGAAGTAAATAAGAAAAAAGATTACCTGTAAGCTGCTGATAGCTTATATTTCCAATCGACAACTACACATAAAAAGGGTAGAAAGCAGAAAAAAGAGAGAAAGAAAAGAATGAACGATGAGTACGTGAATTAACTGGCAATTACTTAAAAGAGGAATGTCTAAACTAACCAGATAGAGTGATTAAGCCCGGTTGTAAAATATGAGATCGCTTTCGGTTAACATGTATACAAACTAAATTAATCACAGAGGGTCGATGACTTTCCGGAATGGTAAGTATTAACAAGTGTTTATCATCACGAGGCCATTGATAAACATGGATAGCCGTTGATTCATAAAGATACTCAATTTGAGGCAATGGTGTTAGATTGTTACTACTGATGAAAATGACGTGCTCTGATACCAATTTCAATGGTCCATGATGATTAAAATACCAAATGTAAAAATACATTGTATCAGCAACGAAACGATAGCTGAGCAAATATTGGCCATCACGGGTGAATCCAAGAAATATGTGAGATAAGACATCATTAGACGGAACAATTTGTCCAAGTGGATAGTATCTTCTTGGTAATGCCTGAGAAATGTTTGAACGTTTAACACTTCCATTGATCTAAGAAGACGAAGAAAAAATAGGACATGAAATTAAATCAGATAAAATTTATTGTTTAAATCATTAAATAAATGTCTAAATAAGTGTCTCTATTGTTATTAATGTTTTATACACATTACTAACCTTGAAAGACAATTAAAATAAATCATAGTTCAAAAAATTAAGAGACACCGACAGACAAAGCTCTTACCTCAGATTCTCTTAACAAGTTGACTAAAGGCTTCAATGTTGTCGCTCCTCCATTTTCATTCTCCATGATTTGATTTAGCAAGTAATTTGCTTGATTCAGTTGTTAAACGGTTGTATTATTAACTGGTGGGGATGTAAGACTCAATTTATTCCACTAGAACAATTCACAACCATACATCCGAGATTCAACTTCAAATGGTAAACAAGCAGCTAACAACGCATTCAATCCACCAACCTCAACGAGGGACTTCAAGTTAATTTTTAATTGTAGCTACATTTGAACATGGGTATCCTGTAAAGTCGAAATCATGATGGTCAGCGAATTCAGTTTCACTATTAACTAGTAAATTAAGATAAAGGTGAATATGAAAAGACTTTTGACACAAAACGTAATAGAAAAGGTTTTTAATGATAACAACAGAGAAAAAAAGAGGGAGATTGAAAAAAGAAAAAGCTAAAAAATAGAAGCGCGCTACTTGATATCATTTAGAATGGAAAGTATGATTAAGGGGGAAATCTAATTAAATTACAATATATTGATTAAGATCAGCAGTTGATCATCTCTATATCACATTAAATTAAAAAAATTTCAGAATTTTTAATCAATATGGCCCTGAGATAGTCAATTAGGAATCATTTACAGCTTGTAACTTGAAATTTGAAAATATTTTTATTGTTTCTTAACAATTCTTTGCAATAATATGCAAATTATCACTAATTTAAGGTTTTTTTATGGATAAAAACAGCTTTCTGTGCTTTTCTGGCTTTTTAGAAACGAAATATTAGCCGTTATTGGAGATATTAGGAATGATCTCAGGTCATAGATTTGATAGCTTCGGTTTAGATTAACGTTATTTAGGTATGTATTATTTAATATTTTCTTATTTATTTAGTGTATTAAGCACACATGTTATGTGTACTGTTAGGCGATATACAATTATACAAAAATGAAGGGAGGGAAATGAAGTCATGAAAAGATAGTCAAGAAAGATAGATAATATTGATTTTGGCGATATATTGATTACTTAGTGGTAGAATAGAGATTCAATTTATACTCCTGGAGGACAGAAGTGTTGTTTTATAGTTAATTCGTTTCAGTATTTCAATTAAATCCAAATGAACTGCTAAATGCTGGACTAACTGAAGAAAAATGAAGTCTTGAAGCAAGGGAATGGCTTTTCGTTGTTATGCTTGTATTACAATTTTCTAGATTGTAATATATTAATAATAACTTTGAAAATAACTTTTTTCTCCTGTCATAAAGTCTATAAATCGTCGTCACCAATACCATCAAAAGCGTCGTTGGCCACAGATGGTCGCACCCTGATAACTCCGTTGAGAGATTGTGACTAATAGAGAGAAAATTAAGATTAGATTGTGCCTTTGAAAACAATTGGAAATTACATACAAGGTAAGATAGAATACTTACTCTTCGCATTCTAGTTTGATTAGAGCAATTTATAAAATTGTCGGTAGTTACAGATTTAGGAAGATTGATTGGTTGACTTGTGCCATCACGTTTCAAATACTGGTAAGAATCTTTTTTGATGCTAAGCTTTGATAAGCCTTGAGAGAGATTCCCATCGTCTTTGCCATTGATACCTTTTCTTTTCATTAATAATTCTTCCACCATACCTCTCAAACACATGCTCATGAGAATCGATTGTTGATCACTTTTGATCGTAATCCATTTCAAACAATCTTTGTTAAACAGATACTCAAATGATAATTCGAAGCGAGTTAACTTGTTGACATTTTTTGCGTTAAATTCCGTTTTATCGTCGTCTAAACATGTCGTCAGTCTCCAACAGCGAATTCGAGTGACACGGAAAACATATTCAGTGGCCTTGTTCTATAAATTAAAATAAAATTCAATTTAGTTCATCAGAATAAAAATAGAATTGAAGTTAATGTGATAGCAAAATTATTTACTGACCGATGAACCAATCGTAGTAATGACTAATTCTTTACCACCAGCATTAACTATTACGCTAGTGTTTGGAGAAGGATGATCACAAATGCAGGGTTCAAATTGAATGTAGCCATAGAATTTCAATGTTTTAGCAAGCTCGATTAGCTGAAAAAAAATCAAGATAACAGTTGTTAGTTAAAATCTTTACAATCGTTTCTTTATAATTGTTACCTCTCTCTTGGAACCTTTAGATTTTAGATTGGAAAGTTGCTTTTCAACATCCTTATTCACTTTTATCCAGCCTCTTTCAATATCAATGATAGTCTGTGAATACAATAGATTGAAGCTAACTTTATCATCCATCAAAATATCGTCAAAAGAAGAGTCCCAATAGTTTTTTCGCATAACAAGTCGATGATGATTACAATTGGTATTAAAATTTTTCAAAGTGAGATAAGGAGATTCAAAATCCATGAGTCGACGTAAAATTATAAAATTGGCTTCCTCTTGGCGAACAATGAACAATGAAAAATAGCACATCTTCTCGATTGATAGTTGAATGGATCTACTAGCAGATTCTAGCACGTTGGAGGTCTTGTCAGTTTTCAATACTTTTACTCGAATACTTTCCCAATTCATCAGGTAAATATCTAGATCAACATCTTCCGGCGCACAATTGTTAGTTTCTTGTTGAGCATGTAGGAGAAAACTATTGAAATAATCACTTTTACTAATTCGATCATCTTGACTAACTTTAAATAAGGAGAAAAAAACAAAAAAATAATTGTAATTGTTGGAGCAAAAACAAGGTTAAATAAATTCAGTTGAACAAGAAAATGGTTACATACTGATCTGCAGATACTTTTCCAGTTGGATTCTTCTCTCCTCTACTTGAGTTTGATTGAGAGGAAGTAAACGTTTGGGTGGAAAATAAGGTAAACAATTTGATCCGAATTGTTTTTTCAACTGCCATGAGAAAAAGATACATTAATCAAATTATGTAATGAATAAGTATTAAGCAATAGGTAATAAAAATATACTTACTTGTTCGTGGAAATTTAACAATTGTTTATAACGGAGAAGGCAATGTAAAGACCCATTAGCATGAATAATGTAAGCCTTAAAGGGAAAAAAGCAAAAGGAAAAAGATTATGGTAAGATTTCAGATTCGAATTGATGAGAGTCATGTTGACATGCAATGAATTTGATTGGAAAGGAAAGCTTTGATATCTATAGCTTAGGGTTAGTGTTAACGATGATGCAGATTTAGTTTATGTATTTTAGGACGGATAAGAAATGAGATTAAAAAAAAACTTACAACAAATGTTTGTCCTTGTTTGGCATCTTTCAATTCTTGCGTTTCTGGTATAGAAAAATGCATGATGATCTCAGAGAGAACACAAAATTATCAACTGATAGTAGAGACTAATACACTCTTTGGAATATAATTGAAATTTATCATTTCTATTAAATAGCTTTGTGCGTCCACACAATCAACTTTTTAATTTTAAATACGTTTGATACAAAAACTGCTTTCAGACTTGACTTAACCTGTTTTTCAGACTGAAGATAAAAATTTCATTAATCTGAAAGCTCGGTGTTCTATTAAGTGTTCATAGATGGCACTTGGTTTTGAAAACACTGTGCGCCTCATAGTGTCAGTAGAACGAAGTAATTTTCATGTGTTGTTTACATTTTTGTAACTTATAATAAATTAATTATTTGATTTTTAATTATTTCATTCTTATTGAATAGTGTTACCAACTCCCATCAAAACTGAAGATTCCTAATGTACATTGGTCTTTAGGTGAGTTAACATATTCACTAGATTGAGACAAGATACTTTTTGTTATTTGCTGAAAAAATATAAATGTAACTCTTTGTTTCTTGTTGTAGATTGCTCATTATGGACGCTCGAGCTGAGTTAACCGAACTCATTAAGAGGCGGGAAGAAATAGCAGAAACTTTAGCAAACTTGGAACGGCAAATTTATGCTTTCGAGGGTAGTTATCTTGAAGATACACAACTCTATGGAAATATTATCAGAGGTTGGGACAGGTATTTAAGTGTAAACAGAGGCAGTAAAAGTGAGAAGCGGAGTCGAAAATTCAAGGAAACTGATAGACTTTTTTCAAATTCATCTATAACTTCGATGGCTACTGTTCGAGGTTTAGATAAAGAAGGTACTGGCGGTGGTGTTGGTGTTGGCGGGGGAACTGGTCCAGGTCAAAATGAGGAGCAAAGTAGTGAAGAAAATAATTTCAGTGGCGGCGAAGATAATGGAGAAACTGAGGATGGTTCTCAACCAGCACCAATCGGGCGACCTTCTAAAGGCTCTAAGAAAATCAAGAAAGCAAATCGTCCCAGTGTTTAAAATTGCCAAAATTCATCCAACACGATTTTAATCCATTTCATTGTTTAACCTGTCATCATCATATTTACTAACAACAATAACAATAAACCCAAATTTTCCGGTCTATTAAGGGTCTATCTTAATTTTGAAAGTGATAAGATTTCAAGGCCTGGTGATAATTTAATCGGATATAATTAAAGATGGAATCAGTTAAGATTAGTGGTTTAAAATTTTTAAATGTTCATTGATTGGATCACATTATGGATAACCTCACTCTAATAAACAAAGTACATTTCAAAATCAAGAATCCCGAAAAAGCTCAGTGAATGATAAAGATAATGAAATATTTAAAAGTGTCGCAAAATCACGTAATTGGAAATCTTCCCAGACGATCATTGACATTCAAATATAAATATAATTTATAACCAAATTAAACGTTTTTAATGTTAAACATTTAGATTGACACTGCCAAGGGGAATAACTTTTAATTGAAGATAAGATTGTATGGAAATTGAATAATTACCAATTACTATTATTAACCCTGCATTGTAAAAACGAAAGTGTCAAACATCGTTTATTTGATTGAACATAATGGTACACGGAATATCCGAAAAAATTAAAACAATTGATTGTACAGGCTTACAGAAGGAATTGAACATTTAATTTCGAGAAGCAAATTATTGATTATTAAAAGAAAGCAAGAGGACGAACAAGACGGAGATGTTGGTTGTTATCTTGATGATAATGACGATAAAAGAAGGAAAAAATGAAGTTGAAAAAGGAACTGAACAGGGAATGTTGATCTAATCCGAAACAAGTGATAAGGCATTTATACTACGTGATGTGAGAGGTAAAATTAAACGTAAAAAAGATGAAAATTAAGCGATTTACAGTTTTCATGGTTAGTTAAGCTTGTAGCGTTGATAAAAACAGCAAACAACATTGGAGTTGCCATAAAAATAAAAATTGTTGGTACTTGGTTACATCCAGTCTTTTCCATTCATATAACACCTAATTTTACTTGAAATCATCTTTTTTCAGCGAAAAAAAGGGAACGGTTTATGTTTTTCCTTTTAGTCCTTTTGCTTCATCAATTGTCGGCGCCATCATTCAATCATCATAATCATCGGTAGTTATCGGTATCGTTGTCGTTCTTGTCAAACCAAACCATATACCAAGTCAACTCCTCCTTGAGTGGTTACTAAACATTCAACAAAAAAGTCAAACTCGATATAAAATGAAAAGGTTTTCCATTTTGGTTGTTAGTTGTTAACATTCATCCTCCCAGTGGATTATGATATAACAGTTGTTCAGAGTTAAATAATATTAAGTTTTTTGGATTGATTGTTGCAACTGAAGTAAAATGTGTCGACTTTTGAAGGTGAGAACAATCAGTGTTCGCATTTGAATATTTATTAACAATCCCTTGCATGACTAATGGTTAATGTTGTTGTTGTCCAGCAATCTGTTTAATTTTCACCTTCATCTCAGGCAACACGTTTATTAATTTATAATTTATTTATTCAATTCTTTTTTCTCCTGTTAGAATAACTTTTGGTCCCTTTTGTTGGTATCTTTTTTGTATATTCTTGTAAAAGTTTCATGTGAAAAGCTTCTTCATCCAAGATATCCTCATTCTCACCCAACTCCAAATCAACCGCTTCCTTTAGCTGCCAATGATGTGAACGGATATGTTGACCATCAACCTCAGGCCTCATATGACCATCACCATGTAAGTTTAAACCAATTATATCAGTATGTTTGATTTATTATTGAATCTATGATCGCCTAAATATTCCTATTTTAACCGCTTTTATCGAGATGGCTTGAATGGTTTGGTAGCTCAACTTTTCTTTTTCGTAAGATGATGAAATGTTGCTGAAACAAGTGAAAAATTAAGATTAAGAATCTGAAGGAAATAAAATTATCTAGCTTGATTTAATTAAATTTGAGTTACTGCTCATTTGAAGCATAAATTGACTGAAACAAATGAGAAATAGATATTGATTACTTATAAACAAATAAGATGAGAACAGCTCTTCACAGCCTTTGAAGCTTGCTTAACCGCCTGATTACCTGATTTCATTATCAGCAAATCTTTCTACTTGAATCAGTTATTGTCATTTCTACTAATGTCATCCATAAATCATGATATATGACAATCCAAATTATTCGATTTCGTTTCAAATAGGTAGCGATTCGGAAAACAATAAATCAATCTTTTTGGTGCTATCTTCCAATCTAATTAAGCGTATCAAACATGAATAAGATATCATATTTAGTTTGAGGCTTTACATCCGAAAACGATCCAAACAGTCTTGAATACGATAGAATCAAAACCGATCTTTTGAATTACTCCTTAGAAGCTCATTTCACCCATAACAATCGCTTTTGACCATAAAGCAATCGCTTTTGATATTCAAATATTCATCACAGGCTTGATTAGCTCTGAGAATATGACGTGACTAAATGGAAGAGTTATCTCAGAGTCGAATTGAATATTTCTTATTTACCTTCTAATTCCTTTGCTTTTACTCTATCAACTTGTATGTATTATTGACAATTGGGACGAATTGGTTGGTTAATATTAGCAGCACGAAGAGAAGTATCCTTACCAACCTTACGGTTTTGGTTATGAAGTCGAGGATGGTTGGGGTAACACTCAATACCGACACGAGAAAGGTTTAGACCCCTGGAAGGTGAAGGGAAGTTATGGATACAAAGACGCTTGGGGAATCTATCGACATGTTGATTATATCGCAGACAAATGGGGCTTCCGAGCAAACATTAAGACAAATGAACCAGGAACTGCACCCAAAGATCCAGCTGCTGTTAAAATGAATTCAAACCCAGTTCCAGCCGGAACTCATGGATTTATCAAGAAGTATGATGTTAAAGATGAGGTTCCTGATCATTCCAAGACATCTTACATTTATGCCAAACAAAAGAAAACCCAAGCCAAGGCTTATTAATCTCAATCAAAACTTGACTATAAAAAAGAGAAACTCAGATTAATTCATGTATTTTTGGGATTCACCAGGAATCTTATGATTACAATTTGGAACCCACATTTCCACCAAATTTTGTATGTAAATAGTCTTATCATTTTTTTCCCAATGAAACTCTTTCCATCCTTAATCCAGCTGAAAAGTCAAAAGCTGGCAAAATCAAACAACGCAACGGAGAAAGTTCATTAATCTTTTTTTCAATCAACAATTTTTCACTAACCAATGTAATCATTTTATACTTTTAGTTTTGGCTCTTTTCTTTTGTATATTTTGATATATTTTTCGCTTCTTGATCATCGATCTAATAAAAATGTTGTCACTGTGACTATTTTTAAATTACCAAAGGCTATTGTATATTCACTTACAATATTCGAGATTCTGAAAATATTGAGGCCAGACGAGTTGATAAACATTTTTTGATCAAAACAATGGTTTACTTTTCCTGAAATGTGCCATTGAGGATGTAGAGCAAAGTAGAGAGTGTTGTCGTTAAACTAATTTACGCGAAGTCGCTGTTCATTGATGTTGGCTAACCTTATTTTTAGGCCTAATCAAAAGCCACATTCTATAATTTGTGGCTCATTAACTTGATTATGATGGTGATATTGGTTAATGAGCGGTTTAACCATCTATTGATTTCACTTGTTTAATGTTTCTGGTGTGGTTATTGGAGAGAGAAGTGAAACAAAAATAATAAAATAAACTGAAAGATTGTATTACAAATATAATATAATTTCAATAATAGTTAATTTCGATTAGTTCTGAAAGTAGAATAGGCAAAAGCTGATCGAGTGAATCCGACCATTTAAGTGTCAATTATATCGTTTTCAATTGGTAACAAATTCATTGTTATGTGTCAAAACGCCACACTCAGGGTTGTATTTCTATTGAGATAATTTCACTCATTGTTGGATATCAATTCATTCAATTTCTTCATCTTCCATCATTGAATTATTCAATATTTATTGATTACTATTCCTCGGGCAAAAAGTAATCTGTTAAACAGCAGTTAACACAAAATTAAAAGAGGACAAGATTTAAACAGATGATACTGCAACATTGATTTACGTGTTAATTTCTAATTGCTCAAAGCGAACAACATCTTTGATAAATCAACTTACCTCATAAAATACTAACTCGTGTAGAGTGTGTAGAGATATATCCACCGGTCGTAAATAACTGATTAGTAATCACTTAGGGCTGGTATTGATTCGTGTTTTTACTCCGGTATCTATAGAGATAATAGAGACACTGGTTTGTAATAGAAATGATAAATTAATATTAGATAATAGAGTTAAAACAATTGCATTAAAATATTTGTAATCATGAAAAATACGCAAAACTAATAAGCAATGCTACCAGAAAAGATAAGAAAATAAATTTGACATTTGGTAAGAATATTTGATTAACGCGCTCAATTTTACCCAGTTAAATGTGAGTATTGAGTCTTTCTTTAACAGTGCTTTTAATGCTATTTGACTTTTTTTTGTGATGCGTTAGTCAATTAATTGATTATTTCTTTACCATCAAATAACCTTTTCATACTCCAATTATTTAAATTTGATTTACCGCTTAGAGTTTTCCTTTCAATCTCTTTAGCCAATCAAAAATTGCTGTTTTAATCAACTTATGGATTAGATAATGGTAAAGGACCCAATGGAGTCCTCAAGTTTGCTTTCAAATAAAACGGGTTTCCTTAAGGATTCACCCAACAACATCACCATCAATAGTAACAACAATAATAATAGTAATAATAATAACAACAACAATAACAATAATTCCAATTACAATAAGATACCCATTATGAAGGATGGAATGGCAACCTGTTTGCGATGTGGTAATGTTGGTGTTAAAGATACCTTCTATGGTAAAGGCAAACAATACTGTTCTGCTAACTGTGTCCGAGGTCTTATTCCGGGCGCATCAACCTCTCGATTTGTACCCCTGTTCAAAATACCTCCGGTAACATTAGCTAATGTGGCTTCCTCATCAGCTGTAAACCAACCTCCTTCACGCAAAATAAACCTAGTTACGACAACCATTGGGCCGACAACATTAACCAATCCCTTAACTCAAGCAAATTCACCTAAAATAAACCAAACAAGTGTAATACAATCAACATCTTCATCAGCCTCAACAGCTACACCAAAACCTTTGACACCAACAACATCTACATCTTCAAATTCAGCAAATACATCAACTGCTCCTGCAACCTCGACATCGACATCGACATCATCATCAACCTCATCGTCATCATCAACCTCATCATCAACCACCCTATTACCATCATCTTCCTCAATCCCTCCATCACCAAGTGGCTCATCTAGCAATAATGTCAATATACAATCTGGTGATACATCAAATCCCAAAGCAACTGAACCTGCTTCAGCAACTCAGACTGAACAGGCTAATACCAGCGGTCATTGTTCATCTCCACTAACACCACAACCAGGACAGATTCATGGAAAGTCTAATGGAAACTCTCCTATACAACAAAAACGGAAAAAGCAGCCTCTACTAACAGAGCAACCTAAAGTTCAAAATGAGTCAGCATCAACAAGTAATAGTGTAATAAATAGTACTGAAAAAAAGCCGGGACAAACAAATCAAGGCGAGTCTAGTAAAAGTAGCTCCAGCAGTAATAGTTCTAATCAAAAGTCAAGTAATGTCAATTCTCCTCATAAAAATACACCTAAATATCTTTCAAACTCTTTCAATTGGATTACCATGTTGGAAAAGAACCATGATTTACTTACTGCTCCAGTTTCATCTTTCAAACACTGTCCTGTGTCAGAGGTTTGGAATAGCTTTGTCACAATTGGTCTCAAGGTAGAAGTCAAGAATCGCGATGTTCCACTGCCAAAAGCCCCAAAAGCGAAACAAGACTACTACTGGATTGCCTCCATTGTCAAAGTAGCTGGATATTTTATATTACTCCGTTATGAAGGATTTGACACTGATGGATCTAAAGATTTTTGGATCAATTTATTTTCTAATCAGATTCATCCTATTGGTTGGTGTGCTGCTCAAGGTAAAATTTTAATACCACCGAAAATGATAGCCGATAAATGTAGTGACTGGAAGGCAGTTCTGGTTAAAAGATTAACTGGTGCACGTACATTACCTGACAACTTTTTCAATCAAGTAAAAGAAAGTTTGAAAAGTCGCTTTAAAGTGGGAATGATTTTAGAATGTGTTGATAAAACACGATTAAGTGCCGTCAGAGTGGCAACCATTGACAAAATAATTGGTGGTCGTCTTCATCTTAAATACGAAGGAGAAGAAGAAGATGAAGCTGGTTTCTGGTGTCACGAAAATTCTCCCTTAATCCATCCAGTTGGCTGGGCTCAAGTTATTGGGCATGAATTAAAAGCAACTCAAGACTATGCACGCTCATCATTAGACAAAACAATTCATAAAAAATTTGACGAAAATGATGCTTATTGGTCTTTATTTCCTGTTCAACGGCCTCATCCGTCTATTAACATGTCTGATTACCAATTTTCTGAAGGCATGAAACTTGAAGCAATAGATCCTCTCAATTTATCAAATATTTGTGTTGCAACTGTCACCAAAGTTCTTCGTAGTCACTATCTGATGATAGGAATAGACGGAATGATGGCCAATGATGGGTCAGATTGGTTTTGTTATCATGTGCTCAGTCCTAATATATTCCCTGCTGGATTCTGTATGCTTAATAACATTCCTCTGACTCCACCAAGTGGTTATAACAAAGAATTTAATTGGTTTGAATATCTGCAAGAGACACAATCTCGTGCTGCTCCGGTACATCTGTTCAAAAAAGATATACCTGTTCACGGGTTTAAAGAAGGAATGTTTATTGAAGCTGTAGATCTTATGGTGCCTCGATTAATTTGTGTAGCAACCATAATTAAAGTAGTTGGCAGATTGCTTAAAATACATTTCAATGGCTGGGATGAAACTTACGATCAATGGTGTGACTGTGAATCACCTGAATTATATCCTATTGGCTGGTGTCAAATGGTTGGATATCCATTAGAACCACCTCGAGAAGGGGATTCTAGTGAAATAGCTACCTATTCGGCAGCAATCGATGGTAGATCAAGAAAGCGACATTACTTCAGAGGTCGCCATAAAAGGCGTAGACGAGGAGCCGCTTCAACTTCAAATGAAAACAGTCATATAACTTATTCAAACCCAGAACAAGCTTCTACCTCAGAACTTATCGATTCATTTTCATCCTCATTTTCATCTATCAGCTATGATTGGTCTTCATCCCAACAAGCTGGACCTTCATCTCCCCCTACATCTATGCCTTATGCCTGTGAATCCAACAGCTCAGTGGTTGTTAAACCATCCCCTATTCAACCAATAACTCCAACTCCAGGTCCAAGTTCAACTGCAACTAAATCTTCTGAAAGATCGGAAGATCCACGAAATTGGTCTGTTGATGATGTTTATGATTACTTGCAAGCCAAGGATTGTGGAAATTATGCTCATTGTTTTGTTAGAGAGGTAAATTTGTTTAAATTGACGTTATTAGTAAACGTTATTTGCTTAATTTTATTTAATTATATTAATCATTTTTTCATCCTATTGCAGAAAATTGATGGGTCTCGATTTTTGAAACTTACTAATGATGAAGTACTCGAGTTGACATGTAAGAAATTAGGACCTTCGCTCAAAATTAATGCCTTGATCCAGTCTCTGAGAGGAAACAAACCTCAATGAAATACAAGCACATTAGGAAACAAATTAATTACATATATATTAAATACGTATATATATAAAATAATAATAGCATTTTTTAAACAACTATATCTACAACAATTGACACTCAAAGTTCTGAGATAGATCATACTTTTTTATACGTTATCACCTTTTTCGCCTGGAATAACTTATGTAAAAGGCTTGCAATATGTGTGTTGAATAAATTTAAGTTTGGTTTAAATTGAAAATGTGCAGTGAATCATCCTCATCAATTGTAATAAAAGAACGAATTACAAAAAAAAGAATGATTATGCTTCCTGGTTTCACCATAATTGTCATTATCTGGAAAAGAAATAACTTTCACATGTAAATCCCTTTCTTTAACATCATCTTTCCTGTGATTTATTTTATACTGTTATAATCATTTTTTATCATATAAACCTTTAATGACATAAACCTCCAATATCAACGACATTGTCTTCCTCAAGTTAAAATCTTTGTTTTGGTGTATACAACTTATACAACTGCTTAATTAACCTCCAGAATTTTATTTACTTGGTGCTTCCTACTTGAACTAGGCATTTTGGTAATCACAGAGGCGTTCAGATTTGAATTTCGAACCAAGGTTTTTAGCTAAAGTCAACCGTTATAATGGAATTAAATTGATGATCATTTATTCTCATCTTCTTGTCTTCTTCTTTCTTCAAACAAAATGAAATACTATTTTTCGCCTACATTATGCCGCAGACCTTACAAGGTTGAAAAGTTAATTTACCTTCGAATCTGAATTTGAACAATTGTTATATCTTCTGTTCGCCCACAAAGATGGTTAATAAAGATCAGTTTCTACTTATAATCATTCAAAGCTCATTCCTGTTCCAATCAACATCTTTTACATTTGTTTTTAGTTTACTCTTGGATTAAAAACATGATGGTAAGTTAACAATTTACTGATTCTTTATCAACCCTATCCATAGAAGAAGATTTTTGAATTAATATTTATTTTATTTTATGTTACAGTTGTTAATTTTATTTGTGATTGGATCAGCAATAGCTGAAGACTACATCCACGATCCAATTCAATACCAATCACAAGGCAACCAAGGATCCTACAATTTTGGATATGATACTGGTTTATACGGTTCTCATCAATTTCATCACGAAACAAAAGATGATAATGGTTTAGTTCGTGGTAAATATGGTTATACCGATCCTAATGGGAAATTGCGTTTAGTCCATTATACATCAGGTCCCAATGGCTATCAAGTTTACCCTGATTCACCAGTAAACAGCGTTCCAGTGGCCTCTCCATCAGCTCAAGGTAGGATCTTAAAAACATACCAAACTTTCAATTAGAAATCACATTTTTTTGTTATTCAATACTTTTTGTCTTCTTCTTACAGTGAGCAAAGTTTCTTCGAGGATTACCTATCCAGTATCTAAAGTTGCGCCCATAAAATCAGCTAGACAAATCGTTGTACCTCTGCCACCAGCCAAAACTGTCCAACGAGAACATGTAGTTACCAAGACACACTTTAGTCCGGCTGATACCTTTCGCGCTCGTTACACAAGTGGATCATTCAAAGGAGCCAAACGGGCAGAGGTTAAAGGAGGCTCTGTAGTTGTTGAAGAATTACAACAACAACAATCATCACCAGTTGTAGCAGTTAAATCACTATCTATTAAGAGTGCCAACCGTCCAATACCGATTACACCAGCTCAATACAGATCCAAATATCCTCCAGCTGGGCGATACAGTCGTTGTTACTGTGAATAGATTATATTTTGTGATGATTTTACATTTATGGATTCACGGACTTACCATTTATATTTTTGATGACTCTTTGATCTGAATAGTGAGGAAACATGACCAATAAGCAACTTATAACTCCAACAATCATTTTAGTTTTCCTGCAAATTGATACTCAACCAGTCCCAATCTCCATCTAATCAAATTTATTTCTCGGCCAATGCGATCTGTCTACGGATTTTGGCAATAATCAATCTTAATTCAATAACTTGAATCTGAATATCGCAATTTTTGTTCATTGTAAAGTGATGTTTAACTTTTCAAGCTTTTGTATTTGTCTAAAGTGAATAAACTAAAATGAAAGATTTATTTCAACCTTTTGGATGTTTTTACAAGTTCAATGTTAAACAACTTTTACTGGTTAACAAATTGTACTCAAGTGAATTGAATTAGGCCGAAAATTGTTGATTGAATTACTTCCAAGTATCACAAGATTGTAATCAATCATTTCATCATCTTAAATCATCAACCACTATTGTCCTTACAATTACATACTTTTAAATTAGAATTTCAATTTCACAATTTGTACCTTGTATTAGGATTTAATAATAATAATCAGTATAATAAACTAGAGACCCAAAATCAAATCAATTGTAAAGCAAGTAAGATATCGAATATGTTTCTTTATTTGTAAAACAACAATTATTACCTAAACGAGTTTTTCATCTTTTTTAATCTCAATTCAGATTTGTGTTCAAGGTTTAGTTATTGGTATTAAACAGCTATTATTGTTACTAAATTAACTCCATTGTATCGCAATTAGTATTTTTGAATGTAGTCTTATGTATTCAATGTTACAAAAGATTGATAAGATAGACGAACACAGAAAATTATTCTCGTTGTTTTATTTTTGTTTTGGATGCTATTTGAAGACTCATTTACCGAAGCAACATTAATTCAAGGTTAACAATCAACACCTTTACTAGTAGTTGAACCTACAAACATTTGCATAATTATCAATGAATTTACTTCAAGACTGCCTGACAATCACATTGGTTACGCATTTACACGCCACGCTATGATAAATCTAAGCAAATAGTCAACCTTTTCTTTGGGTTACAATGGGAACAATGTGTTGAGCGAAATTCAAACCACTTAACTCTTTGATTTTAGAGCCGATAAAGGAAGAATCAACATGGAATTTCAGTGAATTGAAATAACTAAAATGGTTAATCAATCAAACACTTAATCAGTCAAAGAGGTGAATATTGCGTGGTGATTCACTGATCACTCGTCTTTCAATGGCAATGAACTTGATTAGGAAATGTCCGTTCAAGTAGCAATTGTATCACAGGTCATCAAGCTTTAACTAACCAGAGCAATAACAGTAAATGAACAGTAGTGTAAATACGGAATTGAAGATGAGTAAATATTGAAATGAAATGATAAAAGCGCCCAATGTTGAAGATGTAAAACAGCTTGCAGGTAAACAATTGAAATCTTTTCACCTCTACCAATTTGAAGATTAGGAAAGTCTTTATAAACGGAAAAAAATACAAAAAGGTTTTTCAAGTTTCAGATTAGGTACAGGGAACTGGATTAATTGTGTAACGGATTATAAAGATTGTTGCAATGGCTAAGATATTTGATAATATTAAAAAGTCTTACCTTTTTTCCTCAACAGATAATCAAAAATGATGGACCAACACATAATAAATTGTATTCCCAAAATAAAGGCAACCTTGGTTGGATTTTCCCATTATTACTGAGTTAGCAACGGTTCATTTTGTTAACAAAGAGAGTTGAGACAAATTTGGATATAAAGTAGCTTACCTTTTTAATTGACAGTCTTGTTAAACCTTATTCCATGTGTCATTGTCAAAATTTTCATTTTTAGGGTTAACGTTTAGGCGGGTAAATAACTGCATAAATTAAATCATCAATTAAACGGACACATTTAGTCAAATTGTCTATCCTTCATGTATCATTGTGTTTACCCATTTTTGTCAGGAACTTGAATTATATTTTCAAGTTCGAGGCCATTTTTATTCCTTATCACTCTTCTTATCAGTTCAACTTGTTACTCATTTGTCTTTCAATTGGTGAACTTTTCTCTCCTTTTCTTTCTTTCTCTCTCCTTTCTACATTTCTTCCTCTGTCTGCCAGTCTGTCTGTTTCTTAATTTTTGCCTCCTTTTTTCTGTAAATGTTTTCCAAAATCTTTGCCTCCTGTGAAGAATAGTGTGAAGAATATTTTGCTGACAGTTAATTCAATTTTAACCTGGCATTTTCAAAATTATACTCAACGTTACATCACCTTGTTTAATGGATAGTTGAACCATCCATCAATGATAATATCATTAGTTACATTTACCTCTGTTCATATTTAACTGTAAAATCACTGGAAAGTAAAGTCTCATGTTGATCAAATACCGAATAACTTTACCATTTATTGTCACATTGTGTTTTGCCAAATGTAAGTAAAATTTTATAACCTTTGCCTTCCATTATATTTACTTGCCTGTGCTTTTTATCACTTCTTTGCTGGTGCGATTGATTTGAACCATAATTTTTGGATTGTGGGTTAAGCTACTGGATCAGACGCTCATTTCTTTGAACCAATCTGGTGTTTATTTGTGCTATTTTGAAGCCATCTAGTTAGTTTGTTCTGAAATTGAACTCCAACATATTACCTGTGTTATTCTGTGCTATTGTGAATATTCTGAATCATCTAATTTGTTGGTTGTCTCTTCAACAAAACTAAAGGCTATTCTAAAAAATATTGCAATGAAGTTGTCTATCTATTAACTCTTCCAACTTTGCCTTTAGCTAGTCTCATTTCTCGCATTAGCTCTGCAAATTTCTTACCAATTTTTCAACTCTGATTCAATTTAGCTACAATTATTTTGACAGCAACCTTCATTAATTTGTAAGGTTATCTCAGGTTAAAATGATTAGCATCAATGGAGAAAATCCAACGGAAGAAATCGAAACAGTAACGTTTTCAAGCTTGGTTTATGTTTCCTGGTTCGTTGTTTACCCGAGTAATTGATTGTGTTGGTTTTATTGATATGAATGACAATCTTATGAAGCAAATAAAATCAATTCTTATAATTGCAGAAAAAAGATGAAAATTTGTGTGTTGACATTACCATAATCAAGGCTATTTTAAGATTATTGTCATTACTGATTTATCGGAATCTCTCCCTTGAAAAGCAAAAAAATAATGAAACAAAAATAAAAAAATACAGAAGTAAATGAAGCCGAGTAAATCAACGTTAAAATCAATATCAGTCAATAAGCAGAAAGTTAGTTGAGTGTTGCAGCGGTCGCTATTAATTGTCTTTTTGATGATCAAAGTATCTTTTGGTTTTCATTTACAATTTACTTGTTTAACGTTCACTTTTGTTTTACCTTGTTAGCTTCAAAGTCATTTCCTTAATTTTACCTTTTGACTAAATTGACAGCAACATTGTCAACAATGTATTAGAGAAGCTGATAATTGTTTTGAAAAAAAGGACAGAATCGCTCAGGCAAACATCAAAACCATTATTAACTAATTGATTGATTCCAAGCAAATCATTTTTACCTCAACTTTGAACTTGATTAACCAAAAACACAGTAATCATCAATCAAATACAATCTGATGTAACCCTGAACAAATCTCTTCATAGGTGTCCAGGCTGGTCAATATTTTTACCTCTTTTTATTACATGGACCATTGATGTAATCATATGTACATTAGTTAATGATTTATGTTGTTAATTCCCCTCAATTTCGTGATTCAATTGTTTTACAGATGAAATCCTTTTTAATCGAATCGCTACAACATCATGTTTAACATAATCATCCATCGTTTAAACTGTCACTGACTGAATTGGCAAGAGTTGGATTAAATGCGTAAAAACAAAACACAATCAACCAATCAATCAAACCACCTTTTTTTAATCATCATTGAATATTTATTAAACACAATTCATTTCGATTACTGTTCAATCCAAGAGTTAACTCACTGTTAAATCTCCATAGAAATTGTGGGGAAAAGCTGAAAATAACTAGACAATGTCATTAAACCTCTTCTTAATCCTAGTCTTTTATTAAATAACTTGATCAAGGATTGTAAAATGGATTCCTCTCTGTGTTAATCGAGGTTACACCAATTTATTGATTATTGTTTGATAATAAGTTTCAATCCAACAAAGATTAGTTTACTTGTTTGACATTGAATTTCCATTGAGGAAAAATAATGAACATTTTTTGTAAATATTACCAAAATATTATTAACAACTCAATCAGCAATTCTCTTCACAATTTATTAACTCAAAAAATACTGATACAATCGTAAAGCTTCATATTTAACAGATTGTGTTTACCTTATTCAAAATACTTCAGGTTATTCAATTTCTTAGTCAAAATTAATCATAATTTAATATCAGATGACAGAAGGCAACAATCAAAGACAATAAAAAATTTTCTATTCGAACTTTTAACCTTGATTTTGGTTAATATCTTGCTAACCAAATAATCAATTTTGATAGTCACTGGAGCCTGGTTTTAATATGCGATTCAATATAAGGGTAGAATCTTCAAAATTAAATAATTGCTGGACTTCTGGTACATCAAGCTTCCATTATTATTATCATTATTGAATAATTGTCTGTTGTTTAATCATATTTGTAAACTGTGTTGGATTATTTTGGCCAGTAAATTGTTGCAAATATTCAATTTGGTAGTTATAAGTTAAGATTTAAATGTGTTATTTGTGTATCAAACAAATCAATTGGGAAGCACAGATTGCATTTTCATTTCAGGATAAAACCTTCAATTAAGGTAAATTGTAGGGTTTTGTTGGGTTAATCTTCACCCAATTCATTCGTTATCGTGCTATCTTAATACAGATCAATAAGAAATGAAAATAATCAATTGTTATTTCTAATTATGCTTTTCTTTTTGTTTTACTTTATATTACAGGTATTATTGGAACGCAAAGTGGATGGTATTTTCCTCCATTTGATGGTGATAAACTTCAACGTAAATCTCGAGGTCATGGTTATCATTATTCAACGACACCAAATGGACCAAATGGACAAGATCAAGAAACAAGCTTTTCAAATGAAAATTATCAATCTAATTCAATTTTAAGTTCAATGGAGAGGATTAAAAGCATTGCTGATTATCAATCGAATCAGCTTTCTCAGGCAACAACAAAGGCAAATGAAGTTGAATACAGACTTGCTGCAGCGGTTGATCTGACCCGGCGACATCGAATGCACTTTTTTTATGGACTAATGTTGCAGTCATATAATTATATCAAAGATTTACGAGTAAAGGGACAAAAAATGGTCAAAGACATTCGTAAACAGATTAATAGATTAACTCGCCTATCCCGTAAGGCAAGCAACAAGAAGTACAAGTTAAATAGCCAAATGGAGGAGATGGAGAAGCTTATGATTTCATCTAATGAGCTTGAAAATAAAATTAACCATTCTGTGGACGAGTTTAATGATATACTTGAAGATTTCATGACTGAAGTCTATAAAAAGAAATCTCGAAATTTCGAGTCTAATCAAGACTATCCAGTGCAACAGAGGATTACCTGGGAATAATTGAAAGTGGATTATGCCGTGCGGACTATTGTTAAAAAAGAGCTGCTCTTGATAACCAACTTGGATCAATCTTTTAAAATGTAAAATGAAACGGAATCACTTCAAATATTCAACCATTTGGTGCATCAGTGAAGTTTGTACAAAGATAATCATTTTAACTGACACATTTATATCAATGATGATCAAACTTTCAGTTGGTAATCGACCAACTTGATTTTCAATGGTTTAGTGTCAACATTTCACATCTTGTATTATATTGTGCCAATTGTGAAAATATGATATACGTTGCTGTTCAAAAGGCAAATAAAGTGAAAGAGTCTTGGTTTACATTCAATATACTTTATTTGATATTTTTGATATTTGGAGTAAAATACAATTTATAATACAATTATTAGGCTTTTGAACATTTACATTGACATTTGTTATTTTGGTCGTGTTTTTCAGCTTGAGCAGCTTGAATATAATTCGGTGGTGATTGATGAACAGGTTGAGGTTGAATTTGTTGTTTAATAGGCTCATAATTGTTCTCCGGTAATTTGACGAGCTTCTTGCCTTTCACTTTTCTTGTTTTCTTAGGCCTCGGCTCGTAGACTGGTATCGGTTGCTCTGGTAGTGTCTCTGGATGTTTTACCACAGGTTTACGCCAAAGTCTGAATGGAGGCCAAATAGAAGGGAACATTCTTTGTTGAAATGGACTCTCTTTATATCCACCATAGGTCTCAACAGGTTGTTCATAAGGTGAAGCTTCATAAGGTGACGCTTGATAAGGATAGGGATAACCGGGGTAATTTTCACGGGGAGCAAAGTATAGTTCACTTTCATCTTGACCATAATGTTGGGCAAAAACACATGAAAGGATGGAAGTCAGCACTAAGGTTGAAGTCCTAATCATGGTGATATATGGAGTATGTAGAAGAGATATAATAAGGTTGAAACGAGATGAAATAACGTGACTAGTATTCACAGCGAGATCAAATGCGAAACTAAAATTTCAGGTCTATTTCTGTCTCCTTTTATACTCTGATTGGTCCTCTAAGAAGTTTAAATTAAATTTGTACACCCAAATCTAAACGGCTTATCCATTTTAACATTTAAGAAGCTTAGTCCACTTGGTGTCGTTATCATTATTCTGGTAAATTTGGATAAATATCGATATTTTTACATTTCACCAAGTTTTCTTTGTAAAATAAGGAATCAAACATGGTAATGATTTTATGTGAAAAATTTGATTATCATCATTTAACCACTATTTATGCTTTCCCAAATATTTTGTGCATCAAAATTAATTTGTGAGAATATTAAATTTTATTGAGTATCAAATCGGAACAAGTTGATAATCTTTCTTGGGTGAAAAAATCGTAAACATATCTCAAATAATTAACAAAGAGCTATTTTTCTGCGGAACTTATTCGGATTTAGTATGGACTCGTTTCTTGAAGCAATCCCGGACAATTTTATTGAAATGTGTTAAAATCAATAAACCAACAAGTCGCAATGGTCCCATTAAATTAGCTTCAAGAAGCACAGCAAAAATACCATTTGGAGGAGATAAACCAGAGGTTAATGTTCGCAAAATGAATCCTTCAAAGGTAACAGTTGATGAGAATTTTCCTTTCTGTAAATGTAAATTGAAAAATTAGACAACCAATTGTTTGCATAGTACTGGAATTGGTCTAAATTTCAGAATAAAACTTACGAGTGTATCATTGATGATGGATCGAGCAACTTTAGATGGCGGTAACAATCCTCCAGACTCACAAATCAACTTTGTCTCTTCAGGCTGCAAGAATTGTAATAGATTTAATATTTAAATAAAATCGAGCAAAAAATAAATATTGGTCTAGCAAATAAGGAAAACTTTATAATAACCTTGGTTGTATTCTCAAGCGCAAATCCAGGAGTATCAGTATCAGGAGGATATGTTATTGTAATTGAGATATTGTGAGGTTTCATCTGGAGTAATAAAATAAAAAAAGGTTAATAATTTCAATTGGATCACATCAAATTAACTAGCCGAAATTTTTACCTCCATAGCAAGGGTTTGAGCAAATCCAAGCAAAGCAAATTTTGATGCTGAGTATGCTGAGAAGCCATAAATACCAAAAAGACCAGCCATTGATGAAGTTATCTCTATGAAACCTTCATTTCGAGTGACCATTTTTTTAAGAACTGCTCGAGTACAATTAACAGTTGACTGGTAATTCACCTTAATCATGTCGTCAAAATCATTCAAAGGTGTTTCTAGGAATCGATAACAAACAGCTTTGCCAACAATATTGAAAAGTCCGTAAATTGGTCCTAATTCATCCTCAGCTTTTTGAATTATAGTTTCCAAAAGTTCGTAGTCTTTGCTAACATTTACAGGAAAATAAATAACTTCGGAATCCCGTTTTTCCTCTGATTTTGAACAGATATACTTTTTAGCTTCTTTCAATCCGTTCTCGTCTCGAGCTAAAATCGTAACTTTGGCTCCTTGTTGAAAGCACTGAGCAGCTACCTCCAGACCGATTCCTTTAGATCCACCAGAGATTAATACGTGTTTACCTTTAATATTAGCCTTACGTTTGAAGCCATAATTTACGTATAAAACTACTGCAACCACAATCAATAAAACTGCAGTTAACATATTTAATACGAATGTAGTATCAAAATTCATAATCCAAAACCAAAAACAAAAAATACAGGAAATTGATGAAGTTTGGTTGCTATGAGTTGAGATAAGATCTCGATAACAATGGTAACCAGATGTACGATTTTTGAACGAGTAATTAGACTTTAAATAAAATTAGACATTAATTTTATATCATTGTCAACACAATTAAAACATGAAACAGAATAAATAACAAAATATAATTTTTTTATGAACATAATCATTAAATCAAATTTTATCCATTGTAAACTGAGAATAAGCCTGACAACTAGATTTTAATGTCAGCGAACATTCAATAAGTTGAATTATGTTGAATAATTTTTACATATTGCTAATTACACAGCTATACAATTTAATATTTAATGAATTAAATTGATAGACTTTGGTTTTGTCACAAAAATTTGAGCAATTTGGGAATGTTGTTGAGGTTTATTGAACGGAAAAAAAGGTTGTTTTTCCTTGAGTCTTGGTACATAAGAGGGATGCATGATAGCGCATTCCCGTTGATGAGGTACAGGTTATTCAGGAATTATACATAAAAAAATTTAGGTCAAGGGTTTTTTGGAAAGGTTGGATTTTACAAGTCATCTGAGGTTCCTGATTCTTTATGTTTATCAATAATAGGTTGGATGTGGGTAGTAAAGATAAGTTCAAAGTATTCATAATATAAGTTGGTATATTTGGTACGGATGAAGTCTGGAATGAGTTTCTTGTTAGTGGTTTTTAATCTAATTAGGGTTTCTTTTCTTTCCGATTCAGTTTTTGGACATTGGGTTAACCAATGTACAGGCTCATTTAGTGGTGATCCACATAGGCATGGTTGATTATTGGTAAGGAAATTGAATCTTCCGAGTAGTAAGGTGGTATGTTTATCAATTTTGGTCCTTGTATTTAAAGGTTTCCATTCGCCTAGAATTTGATAGTTGTTGTTGTGTTGATTTAGCCAATGAGCGTTTATGAACTTGAGAACTATGTGATCAATTAGTTTATTTTTTCCCCACCATTTTTCCTTAGAGGAGATTGTTGGCGCTAGATTAGGGTACATGAGAAAGAAAGTTAAATGTTCATTGACATTAATGTTATTGAATAATTCATGGTAGATCCTATGTAAATTTGTTTTCATGATCCTTGCCCAGATTGGTAATCTACCCAATAAGGCACTAGCTGAGAGTAGGTTAGTTTTCCAACTGTAGTAACATGATTTTCTGATGATATGGGAACATGCATATTCAAGATCGTCTCTGAATCTATTAGATTCAAGGATTCTTCCAAATATGAAGTCACCATAAGTAAAGGGGATTGCTTCAATTTTTGAGCTATTGATAAGGTTAATTATGTTGAGAGGAAGACAAATGATTTTCGGATTGTTATTCAGAAGTTTGTTAGCTGCTTTGCTTATTCTTTCAATGAGGTATTCTGAGGAGAAGTGATGAGGAGGAAAAAGGTTAAATTCTAGGCCTAGCAGTTTCCCAGCATATGTGGTTTTGATTTTGAAAGATCCAATACTATGGATTTTGGGTAAACTTTTGTGTTCAACCATCAGATTTGTTTTTTGTGGAAGGATAGTTAAATTTAAAGGATGAAGTAATGATATTAAATATTTGATGATAACTGAGGTTGACATGGCTGCATGATGAGGTTTATCGAAGAGTCTTGGAGGAATGGTGATGATCAGATCATCAGCATAAGCTGTGACCTTAATGTTGAGAGGAGAGGGATCCTCTATTCTTCGCTTATTACTGTACATTGGAGGTTGTTGAGGAGGAAATTCATTGAGTGATTTAATAACTTTTTGAACACCAATGATGAAGAGAGTGGGACCCAAGATTGAGCCTTGAGGAACTCCTTGATTACATGCTTTCAGCTTAATAGATGATCTTGAAACGTATGTCATATATCTATCGGAGAGATAGTTTCGGATGATGTCAATGGTGTCAGGGTTGATATTCAGTCCTAGTAAAGTCTCAATGATTGCTGAATGACTTATGTTATCAAAAGCTGACTCAATGTCAACTAGAAAGAGTGAGCTTGAATGTGGATGAGATTCTTCTACTGAGTTTGCAATCTCAGTGAGAGCAGTATTGATGCTTTTTCCTCTCTGATAGGCATGTTGATTTTTAAAGAACAATGGTGGAATGCTTTGATATAAATCTTCTGTGATGATGATTTCAGCTATTTTGGTAAAGTTCGACTGGATGGAGATCGGTCTGGGTCGCTTTCCATCGCTTTTAGGGATGAAGATTGTGAGGGATAGTTTGGTAGCATCAGGAAAAAAATTGTGTTGAAAGATAAGGGTAAAAATTTTACAAATGATAGTTGGTTTTTCATTAGCCAAGGTTTTAATGAAACTAAGATTTATCCCATCAATACCCGGAGAAGCTCGATTGTTGAGTTTTTTGATGGCAAGATTGATGTCATTGAGGTTAAGTGTTTTTTCATTTCTCTTAACTGGATAGAACTCAGTCTTTTTCAACTGATTGATGTCCAGATTGAAGTTGTCTTTGGCATTTACCAGGTTCTCATCATAAACATTATCCAATTGAACATCATGATCATTTAAGAAGTGATTTATCTTGTACCAAGTTTCTTTAGTTTCTTTAGTCTCGTCAAAGTAGGCGTGAATATTTTTGATCATGGTTTTCATGAGAGCTCTTTTGGTGATCAAATAGTCTTCGTCAGTGAGAGCTTTGTATTTCTTTTGATTTTTGGTTATTTGTTTCAATTTATTGGTTATTTCAGGATCAACATTGGTTTTCCATGTTGATCTGACTTGACTTTTCCAATTTGAGGGTTCTAGGTACATCTGAAATCTGGTGTCTACAATTTGCCAGAAGAGATTATTGACATCTTCAATCGTTTCTATCTTTGAATTAATAAAGATTGATTTGATTTTTTTGAGATAAATCCTTTGGTTGAAGAAAAGGGTTTGTTCATTATTTAGAGTTTTCTTGTTGTCAATCATTATCACAGTGACTATTGAGTTGTGATCATTTTGATCAATTGTTGCCACCGTGGTTGTGTGAGTGAATGTTGAGTAGTAGTCTTGGAGGTTTGAGGCCAGTACGTCAATCCATTGAGGTTGAGTTTGTTTTCTTTTAAAGGTCCAATTTGTATTAGTTGGTGAGTTTAAAACTTTGATATTTCTAGAAGTAAGCATAATATCTAAGTATCTGCCTTTACCAAGTGGACGATCATAGGTGTTGTAGGACCATGTACTAAAAACAGCATTCACATCCCCTGCCAGTATGACTGGTAAGGTTGAGTTAGCATTGATAACTTTGTAGATTGAGTCAACAGCGTTTTCATATTCAGGATAACTGGCTGATGGTGGAATGTAAACGGAGATGAAGAGAAATTTGTGTCCTTTGTAGTTTAAGATGATTCCAGTAGATTCTTGAGCAATGGTGAAGGTTTTAGTAATGGCGCGTCGAAAAGATATGATAGCTGATCTTTTATGTTGAACTACTTGAATTTGATGATTGCTGATGGATGCTAATGGAAGTTCATTGGGTTCTTGAAGTAAGGCAACATGATAAGAGTTTGGTACACTGTTTGTAATTATAGATGTTTTGAGAAAGTTTTTGCCACAATTTAAATCTATTACTTTAATTATCATATTCCCAGTCGGTTATGGACTTTAAGATAGAGACAGCTTTTTGAAATGATGAACACTCGGCCGACCTTGGTTTATGATCAACTGAAGATGCTCCACTTTTCTTACAATACAGACATGATGTTTGGGCAGGCTTATCACATGTGGTTGCTTCGTGTTTTTCTTCACATTTATGACAACAGGGGTCACTGGTACAAAACTTAGCAACATGACCAATTGAAATGCAGTTTGAGCACGTTTTAATATAAAAGTTGTCATTAATTTTGACGCTTTCACTTCCAATATATAATTTTCCTTTGTCTTCAATAATCTGTCTTGCCCCTCTGCTCAGTCTGATGATGAGTTTCTTTTTACTTTCACGATTTCTCTGAGGTATATCGAAGGTAGCTACAATTTTCATCTCTTCATTGTCCGGAATATTATTTCTTTTTTTGATTATTTCAATGGGTTCCATAGAGTACTGATTGATAATTGTTGATATCTGAGGCTGTAGGAGCGAGACTTCTTTGATGTCAAGTTGGTCTTTTAGGTTACCAGAATTGAGATGTTGATTTAACTGCTTAAGCGAGTGATTACTATGCGATGTAACTTTAACAGCAGTAAGTCCTTTCCTCATATCATCAATTTGGACAGTGTTATCCCTTTTCGTTATACCATTAATTTCATCAAAGATTTTATCTGGAGTTATTGAATCATTCTTAGGTTTATAGATAATCTTCTTTGGTCTAGTGATGATTTTTTTCTTTGGTTTATTTTCATTCATCTTGTTGACTATCTTATTAGCAAGACAGTTGAGATCAATGTTAGTACCATTTTCATTGCTTCCTCCATTCAGATTCATGGTCACGTGGTCTATAATCATTAACATTGAATTAATGACGTTAGATGTTTTATGACCAATCTGATTTTTCTTGGTGGCTGAAATAAAACTTAAAAGTTCATCTGTTAGATTAACGAAGTTTGCTCTGAACTGATAGAGGATGTCAGAGTTTGCCATGTTGTTCAAGGTAGGAACAAGCATGGTTGAGTTTTCACAAGCCTTAAGGTTGTTGAATTCAAACATTGATTCAGTCGTCATTTCTATGATGAATTTGGATCACAATTTTATAAATTTCACTTGTTTAGGGGTAACTGATGATGGGAAATCTGATGGTGATAAGTACAAATTAAGATTCTGAGTTTAATTAGCGAAAATTAACTAAAATTCAGGAGCAAAATTAAAGGTGACTTCACGTTGAGAATCAAAACATTTACCTGTGCCATCTATTGTTAAGTATTTAAATAATGGCATTTTTTGCTGGAAGGTTTTTCAATAAAAGATATTTACAAAAATACCTCATATGTTTTTGGGTTATGTTGCCCAAGTGAAAGCAATTTGTTTTTATTTTGTTGGTTATTTTATTTGTTTAATTTATTATTATTATTATTATTTTTATTTTATAAGTTGCCTGATCAAACATGTTAGTGCCCATCAAAACAAAATTCATAGCAGAACATCGTCGATACCATGCTAACAAACAAAGTATATCTAATTTTGACAATTTTTATGAATTCGTTGAGAAAAACCATCATTTAAACAACATTCCTTTCTCCATATTTTACATTGATCCAAACCAAGGAGATGAATTGCCTATCAACAATAACGACAATCTGGGTCGAGCAATTGAAGTTACATTAGCCTCACCAACAAAACCGTGTCTCCGATTGATCCTTCAAAGAAAGGATAAACCTCTGGAGAAGGAGTACTCTTTTAAAAAGAAAAACTATTTCCTTAATGAATTCAATCCTTTAAATTATTCCTCATCTCATAGACGTCCACAAATTGGATTACCTCAAGATTTCAGAGAGGTATCATCCATTATTGATGTCGATATTGTACATCCAACGTGTCGACGAGTTCGCCTTATCAAACACAGCTCGGATAAACCATTAGGTTTCTATATTCGTGATGGGGACAGCATTCGATTGTTACCTAATTCTATTGAAAGAGTTCCTGGTGTTTTTATTTCACGCCTTGTGCCTGGAGGAATTGCTGAATCAACTGGTCTTCTGTCTATAAACGATGAAATTCTTGAAGTAAATGGAATTGAAGTGACAGGTAAAACACTGGATCAAGTTACAGACATGATGATTGCCAATTCTTCTAATCTTATTATAACTATCCGTCCAGCAGTACAGGGTAATCTTTCGGGGCCTTTAAATTCATCTTTACCTTCCATTTCTGATGATGAAGACAATGAAATTCATGATAATTCATACTTTTCATCTTAATCAAGAATCAAACTATCAATCAATCAATCAATCAAACCTAATCAATGCAAATAATAAAACTAGTTCTTGACATGTTTTTCAGTGTTAAGTGAATAAATTTATAAACATTGCAAATGTATCTACTTTATATCAATTTTAATGAAAGCGTATTTTTGTCAGAACAAATCTACCAGACATAACTTCAAATAATGTGTCCATTATTTTAACCAATCAATTAACAGTCTTCGCGATGTTCAATCTTTCAATGGATACTGAAAGTTTTATCAAATTTATTGGGCATTTGTCTTGAAATGGCTGTTCGATTCCATACTGTTATGATTGTATATTGCTTCAATGAAAAAGGCCAATTTTTTATCAGATTATGTAATAAAAATACGAGAAAATTGATTTTAATGAAAAAATCCAATCTAATCGAGTATAAATATTTATTGTTATGAATTTTCAGCTCCCAAATTCCCCATATATTTACGCTCTAAAATTAAATTAATCAATCTTTTATCAGAGGAGAAATGTGAATTGTTCACAAAATTGATGAATTTAATGAGTTTTGATAGCGAGATATTATTTTTAATTTAGAAACAGTCCCTCAAAGGCTCATTTTATTGCAACTTCAATGCTATTATAGCATTGCTATATTATTTTGAGTTTTTTTCTTGGGTGAGTTTCTTGGTGGTTTGGAGCTAATGGTTAATATTCATGGTGCCATATCAACGCTGATTTCTAATCATCAGTTTTAATTATAACTTTGGAGTTTCGTATCCAATCATCATTGAAACTGGAACCATTTTTGGTTGCTCAATCTTCAAGAATAAGTCTAAAGTAATGAAACAGACAATGATCAAACTGGAAAAGAAGGAGAGGAAGAAGCGAGAACCCAACTGTGCTCTTTGCCAGAGCCATGGTATTAAGGTGTTGCTTAAAGGTATGCTTTAACTATCGATCGTTTATCTGGCTCATACCTTTCTATCCTTCAGTTATCCGTTTGTTTTCAGTCTCATGCATCAATTTACATGATGCTCATTTCAACTCTATCCTTTTTGCCATTGAACATTTCTCATGTTATAAGTCTGTCTTTCAAATGAAATACTAAACTGATTACTAGTATGCAACTCTTTTAACTGTCTAATTATTTTCATTCCAGGGCACAAGCGACACTGCAAATTTCGATATTGTGAGTGTCCAAAATGCTTAGAAATAAAAGAGCGACAAGAATATATGGCTGACATGCAATATATCAAGAGGAATGGGGTAGCTGAAGAAGCTAGGCTTGGTAAGCGAGCCGATATGATTGCAATTTACAATGAGCGTATGAAGAACAAGAGCAAGAAAAAAGTTACAGGTAAGTTTTGTCTTATTTTGCGAGCTTTTTTGAGTCAAGTTAGCATTATAACCTGATGAAGTTACTTTCCATCAACATATTGATTCATACGTATTCCATTTGTTTCACCCAATTCTAGAGCCCGATGGA